TTGATTCCTTGCTGAAGTGCTCCGGAGTATTAAAGGGCAAACCTCCTCTGGGTTTTTCTTTATTAAATGGCCACCTCCTCCTGGGAGTCTGGGCCTTGTTTCCCTGTTTCCTTTGCACCTGTGGGGGACGAAAAGATTTTAGGTTGCCAAACCTCTCTCTTTTCCCCTTTTCAGAAGATCTGATTAGCACATCATCCAAGCCAGAAGCAAATAAAAAACCTTCTTCAAACAGTAAACCAGTGTCCAGATTTTTAGGACAAATCACCATCCCAAGACTTCAACCAGTTGGCACATCTGGCAGAGTTAAGAGCCCCCCGACTTAGCACAGACCATAAAGGATGTGGCTGAAGCATCAGCCAAGTTGGCTACTGCCCTACCAAATACTGACAAGGACTACGAAACTTGTTCTGCTGGAATACCTTGAGATATGCTGAGAAACCCTTTCTAGCCATAGCTCTAAATTTCTGGCTACACAGGTAGCTGCTACACCTGGAGCCATAGAGGCTGCATTAGCATCCCAGGCTTTCCGTAACAAACCTTCTGCCTTCTGGTCCATTTGAACCTTAATGTTTCCAGCATCCTCAATAGATAGATCTGCTCTTTTAGAGACCTGTGCCAAAGCAGCATCCAGCTTGGGACACTAAAAATATTTTTCCTCATCCTCCTTGCTAAAAGGGAATTTCCTATTCCATGATCTGACCTGTCCCTTTAACCCTGAGCTATAGGCTGGAGGACCGGCGATTACAGGAGCAGAAGAAGGCAACAATTTGGAAATTACATTCCTAAATGTCTGTTCCGTAGCTACCATTTCAGACTTCATACTTTTTCCTTGGTTCTCAACTGGTGGGTCGTGACCCAAAAGTGGGTCACGACCCTGTGTTCAGTAGGTCCTCGTGTGCCTTTCACTTTTCTAGGTGAGAGGCTCCTCAGCCTCCCCCTAGCGCAGCACTGTCATGTCTTGTGCCAAGTAGCCATTCAAAATATGCTGCCCGGTGCCGAGTGTCAGTTTGAGGTAGGGTGTGCTCCATCCATATATACATTGCTTACAGCTCCCTCGCATGTCCTGTAGAGGTGCATGGACCGGTGTGATGTAACATACTGGCTCCTGGCACCTCAACAGGGTGTGCAAGGGAGCTGTACAAGCACTTAACATATGGAGAGAGCTCCATCACAGTACAGCAGCCCACACGGGACCCCAGGCTAAGGATCTACTCCAGTTCTGATAAGGTAGGGAGACCGAGTGGATCTTAAAAAAATAATTTATATTTTTTTTATATTAATACATTTTTTGGAGTGTGTATGTGTGTGTGTGAGAGATTGTGTCTGTGGTTGTGTGTTTATGAGGGCCCATTCACACTAGTACAGTGCGTTAATCACACAGTCCCGTGTACTTGTGATTGCGAACTGTACTTCGCAGTCACACCTACCACGCATTTTGGTGTGAGAAATGCATTGCCATTCATTTAAATGGCACCCCAAATGCACCTCCCACCCACAGTTCTATTGCCCACATCGGAACGCGCAGTACAACAATGCCGTGCGTTCCATTGCAGTGCAACTTGGGTCACGACTTAATGACCAAGGACAAATGTGGGTCCTCAGGTTACACGGGTTGAGAACCACTGATGTAAAAAGCCTTCCATAAGATTAGAGGTTTCAGTGACAACAAACTTAATAATGCAAAGTTCACAAAGAGGCTTATCATAGCCAGAAGGAAGCTTATTGTTATAGCTGCCGCAGTGACTCTTAATTTGCTTAGGAGCTGGGGCAGACACTGAGTGACCCGGGTTTTTCAGATGGCGAGGGATCCTAAAAAGAAACTAAAACAGTCAGGGCCCCCTTTAGTGTCCCCTTAATGCTGACCACCGTTTTGCCCAGAACCCCCAGACAGCATGGTAAGTGCTTACCGCCAACTTGGTTCTGAATGATCCTCCGGCCTATATTATGCTATATTATGTCCTCCTGTGACCCAAAACCAAAACACAGGGCCGCTCCACAGCCGGGATGGATCCCGACAATGCTGTCAAGATCCACCCCACTGGATGATGGACAGCTGGCTTTGCCTATCTAGAAGCAGAGACAGCTGTGCTTGTCCTCATCCTCTTCCATTCCTCCAGGCAGCACTAGAGAAAACAGAAAGGGGAGGGGGGAATCCCTTTGGGGAGCAGTGACCGACAGTCACCTGTCACTGCAAGGAGAGGATTGGGAACAGCGGTGTGCGTTTGCTGGCTTCCTGATCAATAGAGCCGACCTGTGGTAGTTTCAGTGTCATAGGTCAGCTTGAATTATGGGGATGAGTGTATTTCACTCACCCCATAATTCTCCTTTAAACAGTATAGCTGACGTCCTAACTTTTGGAGGTTTTCCCTAGTTGTTGTCAATGGACCTGGCTCCTAAAAACATCTTGCTGACTCCTGGATAGGAGACTGACTCATGAATTCCAGATTTACTTGTCCACTCCTGACAAACTCCACCCGGGTACAGATTACAGGGGGTAATAAGGCTACAGAGAAATCAGTTATAAATCCCCAGGTCAGGGTAAATGACAAGTGAACAGGCCATAGAAGAGCAGGATCATTCACATTAATGATCACAGCATATCAAATGTGTACAATGCATAACACCATTATTTTAAATGGTGCTCATTTAGATACACGCAATAACAAGGCCATAGAAAGGCACCAGAGGTGCCAACCTGGGACAGCTATGGACATAATGGGGGGAATTTAACTAAACTGGAGCAGACAGAATCTGAAACAGTCGCCCATGGCAACCAGCTTTTCTCTTCAGGTTTGTTCAGTTAAGATTTCAAAAAGAGAGATGCTGATTGGTTGCCATGCACAGCTGCTCCAGATTTTGTCTGCTCCAGTTTTAATAAATTCCCTTCAATATTCTCTCCTCAGCATTCATTTTATGATAGCACAAGGAGCTCATTATAAGCCTCACACACATAGGTCATTCATTCGGCATCGCTCTGTTTAGTGCCCAGTGTACTGTGCATCAGGGATGCATGTACTTCATCCAATAGTACAAGCCACTCTGATAGAGCTTTGTGTCTTTACAAGAAATGTTGGGAGTTGTAGTCCCAGAACAGACAGTGAGCTACAAGCTGCCCTCATTCACGTCGAACTCTCCCCACCCCGCCGAAGCAAGGACCCCGCAGACCCGCCACAAACACCTCCCTGAACACAGCTTTCGCTGCAGTCCCTCACCATCACTCTCATCGCTGTGCCTCCGCCGAGACATGGCTCCCGGTTGATTCCCTCTCTGTACAGATAACGGAGGAACACGGCTCGGAAAGGCGCAAGAGCAGAAGACAAATCTCGCGAGGGCTTCAAACGATTTTCACTCTGATTGGCCCGCCGGTTTCTGGAACTTACTCCAGGGGCACCAAAGAGAGAAGCGTGCACGGCTGCAGGACGCCGCTTCCGGTTTTCGCAAAACGGGAGGCCAGGCAAGGAGACGTTCCTGCCAGTCAGTACGGCGTGTCTATGGTCTTACGAGGTGTCAACTTCCGGGAGGTGTGTTGGCTAAGGGAGCGTGTGCAAAGTACAGAACTCGCTGATGTTTGGGATAGCCATGTCTGAGATCTTCATGTCCCGGTGCCTTGTTTAACCCTTTCTTTACCAGACCTATATATATGTATGTATAAATAAACAAATAAGCGTCTTGCTGTGCTCATGCCTAGGTGTGAATGTTGGTATAACAAGAAACATGGTCCCTAGGTGGAGTATACCTTTAGTGGACATTTGATGTAACGTTCTGGCATCCCTTGTTCTTGTTGCACACACAATTTATGTTTTTTTGACACAAGTGGGATAAGGCTGTATAAAATGTCATGCTAATCTTTGATTTAGGCCACTTCTCACTTTAGCGCTGCTCTAAAGGTACGGTATCAGTGGATTTAGCGCAAACAGCGCAATGCACAACAATAGTTGCGGTGAATTTCATTCAGAATTGCACCCTAATGCACTTCCTGGCGAGCATGTGTTGCGCTACACTCAATGCACAGTACAATAATAATGTGTGTTGCTGTAAAAAGTGCATGCATAATTTTTTTCTTACAGCACGACAACGAAATGTGTGCTAATGTGCTGCAACGCATGCCACTTTGTGTTCAGCTGCATGAAATCAAAGAAAATCCTGCATCCGTGGTCAGCAGGTGGGCTTGGTAAACCCCAAGCCTGTGCAAAACTGTCAGTGACACACCCCTTTCCTGGCCCAATCAGCTGCGGCGGGAACATTCCCAGCCCTCCAGATGCACATAACAAATGCATAGGGAAAGCCCCAGCTGCAGCTGATTGGGATAGGAAGGGGGTATGTCACTGATAGTTTTGCACACGCATAGGCGAACTCGGTATACACCAAAGAAAAAAATGATGTCACCAGCACACCGTAAGAGTAATTAGCAAAAGTCCATTTAATGGCACATTGCCATTCAATACATGCGCTTTTGGGGCCTCAAGGGGTCCCCTTCATCAGGCTCAAGCCCATGCACATCCCTCATGGTCAGTTCTGCATAATTTCGTGTAAACGTGTGCACATGCTCGGACTGTAAACTGAGCTGGAGGAATGGGAGACTTTTACAGATGTGAATGTTTTGACTCTAAACGCATATAACATGCATAGATTGTAAGCTCTCAGGGGCAAGACTCTCCTGAACATCTTGTCTGGAATTGTAATGTCTTTCTTATTTTGTGAAGCGCTGCACAAACTGTTGTTGCTATATAAATCCTGTATTATGATAATAAAGGAAACATTTTATGGAACGTTAGGTGTGTTTATAATGCAGGCAAGATCCTGCGTAGATATCAGTATTTTATTATGCCTGTTTGCAATCACCTTCCTCATAACTATTCCTCATTCATGTCTATGGAAATCTGGGCAGCCGTATAAGTCAATGACCGAACAAAAGCTCCAGCCTAAATCTCTAGCTGTGTGTTCATTCAGAATAGGTGCAGCTTGTGAATTACAGATGGTCCCTAAGCCATGAGACTTCCTGGAGGGAGGGCACTGACATGCTTACTCCAGCAGCAGCTTCATTCAGTTTTCTGCTGGCAGGGCTGACGTGCTGTTGTAACATTCCCCTACCTTGGTATTGACTAATTCAAGTCCTGCGTGGGCTGCTAACCCTTCAGGTATCAGAAGTAGCTGCCTACTGCTGAGGAAACTTGTAGATGAGCATTATTATACCTTAGAACTCATCTACACTAAGAAGTTTTCTATTGCTATATGTATCATCATATGTCAACTGAATCAGCCAACGCTTGTGCCTTAAGTGAATATTTCATTTTTTTGTAAACCTCTAAAAATTTAGCATTTTGAAGCTGCTAAGAAAAATGTCCATGTCTTCCAACTGCAACGAAGCAGAGGTCTTATCCTGCAGTGAGCTGCTGGACTACTGTGACTTGAGATTTCCTGATGAAGACTTGAACGGGTCTGCGGATCCCACACCCCAGAGCACCTTAAAAGCAGGATTGGATGGCGATATGAGAAAGAAGTACACATTTGCAAAAAAAAAGGTATGTCATTTGGGATTTAAAAATGGTAAATTCTGGTGCTGGGCTTTTGTGAATTCTTTCTATTGTCAGCGGATGCTTGGGTACCCTGGCTCCAGAGGCTAAACCCAATTCACTGGTGGACCCTAAAGCGTCTCCGTGTCCTGTAGTGACGTAGGAGTTGGTGGATGGAGCCACAAAGCGCAACGGCCTGCATTCTACACTTCCAGACGTGTGGAATGTATAAGTACTTTCAGCAAGATTATGTCTTTATTGCAGAAGAGTCTAACTGTGCAACCAACTGGACAGGTGAGTATGAAGTGCTTGCTTTGATGGGAAAGGCAGTGTTTTAACATTTAGGTACCGTTAGTACCATGGGAGTTCGGTTAGTACCATGGCAGGCAGTTAGTACCATGGCAGTGCAGTAACTCACGTTGGTGCGGTGTGGTGCTATTCATTCTGAATGCAAGCACACTTGCATTGCAGTGTAACCTGCAGCAGAGCCCTAAGGCTTTCAAAAGTTCTGCATGGATAACATTTGGATAACTGTAGTGCATTAGGCAGACTACACAAATGCCACAAATGGGGTGTCCTAATGCAATGCATAATGCAGGCCTTTAGGGTGGGTTTACCCGATTGCTCTGCAGTAATGCACAAGAACGTGTTGTGCTCATTGGTGCACTGCGGCGGCTTTCATATTTGCACACCTGCGTTGCAGCACACAACAACACATCAAACCACACTGCCGTTTCTTGTAATATGCTGCGTTACAAGAAAAAAATATACATGAGCCATTTTCAGTGCATTGTGGTGCCTTAGGTAGCCCATTCAGCTGAATGAACTGACCTAAAGGGGAACTATGGGGTGAGTGAGTTACACTCATCCCCATAGTTAGATCCGACCTGTGACATTGAAACTGTCCCACGTCGGCTCTATTGATTGGGCAGAGAACAAAAACATACCACCGCTCGCTCACTTCCCGATCATCTCCCTGCTGAGAGTGGTGACTGTCAGTCACCACTCTCCGCAAGGATTCCCTCTTCCCCTCCTCGATCCTCCTGCGCTGACTGGAGGGACGGACTGGGGAGGGGGCGTGCATAGCTGGCTCTGCCTCGAGATTGACAGCAGGCTCTGCCTATCAGCCAACGAGGTGAATCTCGACACTCAACACAGTGAGCGTCGAGATTGTCTGGATCCGCCCCGACTGCGGTGCTCGCCGCTATATACTGAGTTTTGGGTCACAGGAGGACTTTAGTATAGGGTCCTCCCGTGACCCCAAAGAGAACTATAGGATAAAAAGGTTGCCCCATAGTTCTCGTTTAAGAGCTGAAATGAGCACACTGGCAACCTTGCCAGTTGGCATGCCTTGAAAGTAATCATAGTGAATGATAATGCACAACCAGAGGATGAACCCAGCATCAAAAAAGCAGGAATTGGAGAGCAAGGCATACAGGGCAAGGCAGCAAGTTCGAATGTATGCCCCCCCCCCCTCCCCAGCAGCACCTTTCCTTTACTCCCTTGCAGCGCCATTCAGCATAATGCTCTGGCTAAAATTCTGTTTGAATTTTCTCAAGGGATCTACAGGGGTGCTTTTTTTTGTCTTGTTGTGTTGCACCATCATCATCTAACCAAGGTTATGTTTTAGATTTTTGTGTAAGCAGGGGTTGTGTGAACAATTTTCTTGGAACAAAGTCAGACAAATATTGGCATATATAAGACCACAGCAATATTCTTCATCTGCAGGCATTTGCTCTTTTTGTTAAAGAACTGCAGTCAACCAGTGATTCACCTCAGACCAGACAAGAAGACGTGAGTCGGTGGAGATGTTGTGGACAAGAGTTTACAGACCTCAGAAGTGTTCACAAGCACGTGGCTGCATTTCATGCAAACGAAGTTTGGAAAAGGACACAAAGCATTTTAGAAGAACTTGCCATAGCTGCTGCAACCACTGTGCCATGCTCTGACCTCAATGATAACACTGGTGCCTCAGCCAAAATGTCCTGGAATCACTGTCAAGTTTCCGACTGGTTACCAGATACAAGCCACTACAAGAAAGAAGCGCTAACAAGGTAGAACCACAGATATGCATGCCTTCTAAATTATTGTCTTATATTAACAAATGCCATATTATATAAAATGCCAAATATGTGAGTATTGAATGGTTAAAACCTGTGTTGGATTTTGTTTTTTGTTCCATACAGACATGCACACTGATCCTAACAATGAAATTAATTCTGAAAGTGTGTCAAGCCAATTTTTTTTCTTTTAGTTTTAGATAGGAGTTACTTTCTGTCCTGGAGATGACAGATAAACTATCTGTCACTTTACTGTAGAAAGGAGGAAAGTGACAGGAGAAGAGGTGGCTGTGGCTAAGATAAATGGACTAAGTGCCCGTTCAAACTAGCCCATCCACTAAAGCTTTGTGTTTTAGCGGACAGACTAGTGCGTTGTTGCAATTGCTATTTACATTTTGTTTTAACTTTATGCGGAGTGCACAATGTGTACACTCCATTCAGGTCATCGCACAGCAGTGTGGTGCACTGCACAGCTGCGCAGTGACCTGCAGTGGCACCCAGTTCACTGTTAAAAAATACAGCATGTTTGCATTTTTCTGTGGTGTGAATGGAACACATAAAAAACAATTGTTTTCTGTGTCCTTGCGATGAGCTGCATTGATCTGGTGCAGTAAATCACAGGTCACTGCTGTACCTGTGAACAGGCCGTATGAACAGGTATCAAATTAATGTCATCTGGGTTTTGGTCCAGTAGGGAGTGAGTCTGGGGGCAGGCAAGGAGGACTGGTAAACTAAAGATGTAGAGGCAGCCCTACTGCCTCTACAATTTTTTATGTGAACAAGTTTTACATATTTTTAAACCGAAACATCAACACAAACACAGTAGACGCATTAATAGTCACAATAAGCACACAAACCGAAAAGGTTTGACATTGAAGGCTATAGGTCAGGAACGAGAAGTCGCTCCCAGTTTGTCCCTCAGGACACTCAACTCAGGAATGGGTCCTGAAATATTAAAGGAGAACTATGGGGTCAGTGTTTTTCCCCATAGTTCTCCTTAGGGTAACGGGAGGACACAAACTAGCGTCCTCCCGTTACCCTAAGCTCAGTATACCGCGAGCTACAGCTCGCGGTATACTGAGACGCCGGAGCGGATCCCGACTTAGATGATGGGATTCGCCCAGCTGCGTGAGTGACAGCTGGCCCTGCCTATCTAGAGGCAGAGCCAGCTGTACCCGCCCCCTCCCCCGTCCGTTCCGCCAGTCAGCGCTGGCGGATCGGAGCGGGGAGAGGGGAATCCAGCCCCTCCCCATGTCACGGCAGAGAGCCGTGACAAGATCGAGAGGCGAGCGAACCCGGTATGTGTTCGCTCACCTCCCGATCTACTGAGCCGACCTGTGACAGTCTCATTGTCACAGGTCGGCTAGAACTATGAGGTGAGTGAAAAGCACTCACCTCATAGTTCTCCTTTAAGATGTCTCGTCTAGAGCATCAAACAGTGTGGAGAAGAACAGGCAAACTCAAACGTGGCCTACATGATGAGGGGAAAGAAAGAAAAGAAAGAAAAAAAAAAACAGATGAAGGGCAATCCTCCACAGCTCGCAACCCAGACTCCAATACATTCAGAGACAAATCACCAATCAGTAGAGTGCAATGTAGCATCATACTCTGGAGTAGTATCTCAGATTTTCTTTTCTGATGGTGGTTTTCAAAGCAGAAAGGTTAGAGCAATCAAATACTACACTGTGTAAATGAATTAGTAATGTAGTTCCATAGTCATATGAAATATTTGTTTCCTTGGCAAAGCTTTGTATGGAAAACATTCAAATCACTCATGACCGTATGTTTAGGTTCAGGGATAAAAGCATATAAAATAATTGTACCCCTTTTATTAAGAAATGAAATATGGAGGATACAATTGCTGACATTTCCTTCTGGAAATGCTAGTTCCCTGGCTATCATGCTTACACTCTAGATTCAGTACTGTGAGTCACTAACCTAAAACAAGTAAGCAGATAAGTACTTTGACATTTGTCTGGCTTTCCTATTCTTCAGACCAATTCTCGGTCAGCAGCTCAAAGTACTCAAGTACTGAAACCTGCAGATCTGACTAACAGCCAGACAACTAAAATGTACCGTATAGGCCTCGTTCACAGGCAGATCATCCGTGCTTTTACAGCCCCCCAACCACCCACCTACAATTTTACATGGCAGCTGCTCATGGAGGTATACATGGTCATACTCTTTACATCATGTCGTGTTTGGCGGGTGGTGGCACTTGCCAAACACATCTGGGAAAATCAACAGGACTGCACCACAACCACTTGCCAAACATTAGGCACATGGTTGCTGTGTGGAATTTCAATGTAAAATCTGCGTTAGAAAAAAACAAAAAACCAAGCAGGCTTGCAGGAGGCGGAAGTGTTGCCTTCTGAACTCCTGTTAACCTTGTTCCAAACCGTTTCTGAAAAGCAATACTCCATGGATTGCTTTTCAGAAGTGAGTGTAAACCTGCCACCCGTGTTGAACAAAGCCTTACAGGAAACTTTGAGACGACATGCAAAGTCAGCTGCCTATCTCTGGATCTGCTGATTGGTTCGACAGGGTTTTCTTTGCATTAGATTTCTCTGGATTTGTTATTTGTGTACTTTAAAAAAAAAAGGTGGTAATTTATGATGATAATGAATTGTTCGTCAATGTGTTTTGCAGTGAACCAGGCGAAGTACTTTTATATTACTGCTACTGTGATGTGAATGACCCACATTGGATCTGTGACTGGCAACGAAGTTTGTGCCAACTGCTGCATCTCACAGGAAAAGTAAGTGGGGTATATGCCTTTAACTGCCTCCGGGCCGGCCGAAGTAGAAAAACGGCCGGCCCGGAGCTCTCTAGATCTGAGCGGGCGTCTCTAGACGTCCGATAGCATTTTTTAAAAGTCTAGGCAAGGTGCACAAAAATCAGCCAATACAGTTACAAGGTCTCTTGTTTTTAGTTTTGATGTTGTGCTTCCACAGACCACGTTTGCCTCCAGAGTGTTCCCCTTCTTCACACTGCATGCTCACAGATTGTGCCCTGTCATCATGTAATTTGCTAATACTGTGCCCACCTTTATCTTTTTCATAGACCACAGACTTTGCCCCTTTTTGTTTTTGCAGTTTCCCTCCTCCGTACCCTGCATGTCGGACTGATATTACTATAACAATGTGTATTTCAGTTCTAAGTGGTCTATCTTTAAATGCCACCAAGAAGAGGGTTGTATCTGGTAACAGCTTTGAAAGCAACAGCTTTAGGCCCCATTCACACTGAGCGACATGAAAATCGCGCGATTTTGAGCGACTTTTTTTCCTATTGGGCTGTATGCAATCAGGAGCAATATCGACCCCCACGCCAGGCACGCCCCGCACGCCCGCCCACCTGTCTGTGGCTCCCTGGACGGCAGAGTGGACAGCTGCAGCCAAGCCAGGTAAGACATCCCCCGAAAATAAGACCTAGTGCCTTTTTTCGTAGAAAAAAAAATATAAGACACTGTCTTATTTTCGGGGAAACACGGTAGAGCGATATCGCGTGGAAATATGAGCGATATCGCTGCAAAAATCGCTCGATAAATCGCTCAGTGTGAATGGGGCATAAAGTAAAACCAAACCTTGCCCACCAATAAAATGGCTTCATTTTATAATGTCACTTTAGCATTGAATGGCATAAACAGTGTAAAAGTGGGATGGATGTACTGTAACGATGGAGGAATGGATATAATTATAGGAAAGAGGGATTGGGGCCCATGTCCTGCCAATCCCCAACTTGTCATGGAAACTGCCACTGTTCACCTTTCCTTCTGGAAATTGTTGCCTGGCTGTCATTGTGACTTGATGGCTTCAAATAAATACTTTTGTCCCACATTTCTAATTCGCAAACGTGTTCAGGGTCAGTGACCCCAAAAGCATTTTAGTTTTTGTGTCAGCATAACAGCCAGACGACAACCATTTTATAGAAGTTCAGCAATGGTAGTCCCACATTTCTCCCATGACGCATTGGGGGAATTAAATGAATCCTGTTGCATCTTCTGCATTCTTTAAACAGTCACAATCATCAATTGTGAATAAGGTACTATTGTAGTGTTTACTCCATTCATAAATCTCTGCCAAACCGAAGCTTAACCATATTGCGACTAATTAAGTACACTGTCACACATTAGCACTAATTGGAAGTAAATGAATGGGACTATCCACATAGCTGCTGAAACTGCAGCTTAAAGGAGAAATATGTGGTAAGTGTTTTTCCCCATAGTTCTCCTAAGGGTCACGGGAGGACATATACTAGCATCCTTCTGTGACCCAAAGCTCAGTATATCACAAGTTACAGCTTGCGTTATACTGGGACCGCCGCAGCCGGGACGGATCTCGACATTACTGTCGAGATCCACCCAGCTGCGTGAGTGACAGCTGGCTCTGCCTATCTAGAGGCAGAGCCAGCTGTGCCCGCCCCCTCCCCCATCCGTTCCTCCAGCCAGTGCTGAAGGATCGGAGCGAGGAGGGGAGAATCCCTGTGGGGAGCCGTGAGTGACAGTCACTTCCCGATCTATTAAACCGTGGTGTGACAGTTTCATTGTCACACGTCGGCTCGAACTATGAGGTTAAGTGAAAATCACTCACCTCATAGTTCTCCTTTAATTGCTGCTCACTTATCCAATCCAAACAAATGTATCGTTTGGGCTGCTAACACTGTAAGGCCCCTTTCACATAGGCTGATCAGGAGAGGATCCATGCACAGATCCTCTCCTGATAACAGCAGTATGGAGCGGATGTCACTGCTGTGACATTCGTGTCCATACAGTTTTTTTTTCCCCCCCATCTCGCGATGGAGGAAAAAACTTTACATTTACCGGACCCCATGCTGGTCTATGAGAGATTACCCCCGATCTGGTCCGTTCCGTTTGTTGTTCCGGTCACGGCCGGAAGCGTGGGTAACTGGATGTAAACGGACGCCTGTCTGTTTACACATGGCTGCCCATAAACATGCATTGAGCATCTGATCGGGTGCGCCTGACAAAACTGACAGCCGGATCTGATCGGAGCGGCCGTGTGAAAGGAGCCTAACTGGATTGCTGCCAGCTGTCAATCTGTGCATGATCACTACTTCTGAGACATGAAAATGAAACAAATGTATCCATTGGGCTGCTGACAATGTAGATATTTAGGAGTTCTCCCCATGTAGCCACTAATGTCCGCAACAGATTTTACAGGATTACTTTCATGTATATATATACAGTGGGGCAAAAAAGTATTTAGTCAGCCACCAATTGTGCAAGTTCTCCCACTTAAAAAGATGAGAGAGGCCTGTAATTGGCATCAAGTCCCTTCATGCACTTTACATTTGCTTCTAAGTAGTGCTACGTGCTATGTTTGTGTATAAATTTCATTTTATAGATTTTTATATTTTTTGCACTATTTTAAGAAGTGGTTAAGTGCACGTCTAACATTTGCAACTGGTTAGTAAAGATTTCAGTCGCAGAGAGACTTTCAGGTCTTGCGATTATGCTAAAATAATGCTGTATTCACATTTCTGTCACTCGCAAAGTGGAAAAAGCCGCACCGCTGTAAAAAACAGTGCACCGCAAAAGGAATTTTTCGATATGGCAGAAATGCACATAGATTGGAGGTGCGACAGCCTCTAAACGGACGCAGATGCTTTCAAAAATTCCCCCCATAATATTTTGATGAAACCTCAGATGCAGAAACTATTTTAGGCTGTATAATAATGTAGAGCACTTATCAGTGTATTTTACACCTTGGAGGATAACAATAGCAAGCACATCATTTACAGTTTTATTTTTCTGCCAAGTAGATCCGCATAGCTACAGAGGGAATAAACGGTACAGTAGGAGGAAGCAAAATCTCCACCAATATTTACATCAACACTATGCTTTCACACCCTCTGTTTAAGGACAGCATGTTCCGGGCAGATTTCAAGGTAAGACAAACATTTAGCTGTTTATCGTTTCTTATTTGTTATTATTTATAACTGCAGTTGAATTATGCCTCGTGTTTTATTACAGAAAAAAATAATTGTTATAATTTTAATGTTTTCATTTGATATACTATTAAAAAAAAATGTAGGGTAACTTTTGAACCATTTTTGCTTGTATGGCTGAATCTTGCACATCTGGGCATTCGCCTCAAACTACAGGTAATCAATGCAAATAATGGCACGATGACTACATATACATGCAGGTCTCATCATGAGCTGCTTGCTCCCTTGTATGCAACTGAGCGACAAACCACTCTAAAATGCTTAAAGACATTTTTTTAATAAACCTTGCAGTGCAAGGGTTAGCTGCTTGTTTTTGCCTGGTTACAAAAAACAATTGTACTCACCCGATGCTCTGAGCCGACTAGTTTTTAGACTGGTCCTTTCAGCCTCTTCCCCCTTCCTCTTCATCGGTCTAAGGTCCTGTAAATCATCACGTTCTATACACTGTGTATAGATGTGAGGACGCTAAAGAAGATTCGAATGGTGGAGTGGAGGAGGAGACAGGCTGGAGGGAGCACTGTGACAGCTGGCTGGTTCTAAGCTTCGGGTGAGTATATCTTTGTTATTTTGGAACCTAGACAAAGACAAGAACTTAACCCTTGCAGTGCGGGGAAAGCCCCACAGCGAGGGTTAGGAAACGTTTTCCTGGAGTTCTTTAATAATCATATGCTTCAAATGTCTTGCTTTGCACTAGGGTGACAGATAGCAACTAATCCAGTTATGTGGAAAGCAAGGTGATTTTACTGCAGCCCTAAAACAAGTTAAAGAAAAGGCTTGGAGCACTGCAAACTGTAGGACGTCATTTATACAGTATGCATCTTACTGAGCAAGTCAAATTCCAAAAACTATGCAACCTGCAACATTTTCTGAAGTTTTTATAGTGGGGTTCACTGTATCCGAAATGCTGCATACATTTTCTCACCCTTCTCTGTTCCATTTGTTTGATATTAGTATTGTATATGTTTACATGAACATGCTGTATTTATCTTCTTAACCTTATGATTTTGAAGACCAGTGAAGGGGGTGCACATTGTTTCCCTGACCTTCGTGTTGGAGTTTTTCAAGAAATCGTGCCAATGGGTGTTGATCCCCACATAGTCAGCTATAAAGAAACAGGTAAGTTTATAAACAGTTGCACATTAAAGAAGTAGTCTTGCCAAAAGATGAAAACTATTGTTAACTCCTCACCCCGGGAGACCCAGTGCACATTGCACTTGGTCCCATTCAAATCTGTGGAGGGGTTTTCAAATGAAATGCAGTTTTTTTTTCTGCCAGGGCTTGCTGTAGGTCCACCCTAGGCTCAAGCCCAATTTAGGGGCGTTTCTATGGGGGAGTTACAGTCAGCCTGCCGGGAGAACGAAAAAATATAACAGTGTATGGCCAGCTTTACTGAATTGGTGTGTGGAGGAGGAATGTTTTTCATTTCTACTCCCTCCCTATTCACTCCTCCTTTTTCTTTCACTGGTATCATCCGGCTCAGTGATCAGGCTGCAGTGTTACGTGTGTTGCCCCTCCCTTCATCTCACCCTGCTGTGTTTTATGCAAGGATGCAGGTGGCTCGGTCACACAGTGTCATGGGTTTCCATTGTGTGGGCCGGCTGGCCACCAGTGCTATAACTACCAATTATGCTGTGGAGCCAGGCTGCCTGCACCATGGAAATATGTGGCACTGTGCAGCTCCTCATGCTTCTACCTTCCGAGTCCTAGGCTGCCTAGTGTCCCTTAGCAACCAGGTGACATGCAATTACACTACTGCCATTGTTTAATTTTTTCCCCATACCCCTAAACGTCCTGGCACATAACCCTGGGGGTAAGTGTACCCTAGACTGGGAACCACTGGTATATACACAATATATCCAACACGTAACACAACATTATAAACTCCAGGTGACATTCCCCAGAAGCCATAGAATATGCCAATAAATGTGATAAACACTAATTAAGCCCAGAACTGTTTTTGCTTATGGTGATTGAATTTACAGCCTTCTGTGATCTCTGGCAAACACCTGCTGCATATGAATATACTGAGGGACTAATTATGATTTATACATTTTGCTAAAGTCAATGGGTGCTACAAACATGAGGGAAAGTTTGTCTCATCTAGCTAGTTATTGCTGGATCAGACAAGCATTTGGGGGGGAAAAAATAGTAAACTGGATTAGATTTTTCCAGGCTGATCAATATTGTTTTTCCACCAAGATAAGCTGGCATGTGCTTCCACCTCCCTCCTCAATAGACAAAACACGTTTGTCCGATGCCTGAATGTATGTTTGTAGAATTAACTTATGTGTGAAGGATTGTTCAATGGCTGCCCAGTATCTAAAGGTCTCTGGTTTGATGGAGATTATCATTAATTCTATAAAGTGTGAATTGTGCAGCGCTAGAAAATAAAGTGCATGATATAAATATAAATATGTAAAATTCTAATTGTCACAAGATGAGCCTGTGTTGGAATTGCGGTGTGAATTTTATTTTTACTGTTTACTTAATACTCCTGTAAAAATACTCTCCAGTCAACACTAAAAAATAAACCTTGAGATGCATATAGTGAAATAGCCTACTTGCTGAGTAGACACGTTTTCTATCCAGGCATTGTCGTAGTTCACCAGTACCCCCTTTGTTGGTAATTTGGTGATCCTGTAACACATCTACTTGTGATCCTGCGCAGACCATACTGCCTCTCACATATGCAGCACCCTGTAAGCAGGAGTGCATAGTAAATTTAGTGTTGTCAGATTGTATTCAGTCTGATGCTAATCTATAGTGCATGTTCATTTCGTTTCCCCTAAGTAATCTGTTATCGTTTACATCTGCCTGCTGCTGGGTGTATCCTTGCCACAGTGCAGAGCAACCAATAAGAGAGTGTTATGAGTATCTATGTCTCCCTGGCTAATCACTAGGAGGTTGATAGCCAGTAGTGCAACCTGGGAGAGGACATAAATATTTGGGGTGGACCAGGTGAGACTCTCTTCCTCCCCCGGGCCCTGCCTGAGGGACGGCTGCTATGGACTGTCTGATTTGGCTAGGGATGAGCCATGTGCATACACTGAGGCCTGAGTCTGGGGGCCCAGTGGCTACTACTGATACCAAGTATGAAGATGACTAATGACTTCTAAATTAAAGAACTGCTCAGCCAGATGCTCTACACACATATTGTCCAATCTGGCTTAATGGTCCTAGTCTGTGGATGGCAGCAGCTATTGTTTTCTACCACTTAAAGGTGTCAACACCAGCCTGGATGATCCTGACCCCCTCTCCCAGAAGTTACTCAATAACATTTTTCAGCATCATATCTTCAGTCTGGACCATGCTTTTATTGGTTGCCACAGAGGGTGGTAAGTGCTATTGGGGCAGTCAGGTTGCTAAAATCTCTAAGACAGGCTATGGAAGACCCGTTCATCCAGCTGCTCCTTAGGGTGTAAGCGCTACACATACAAAACCTAATGTAATACAATTCTGGTACTAAGTTTCTCACAGACACCATTCAGATTCAAGCCTGCCTTGGGAGATTGAATGTGACTGGTGATGCAGGAAGCAGCAAAGTCATCCAGACTGTCAACCGATCTTCTATGGAGCTGTATGTGCTTATTCTGCAGTGGAATTAATTGTAACTCAAATGAAAATACATGAAAGCATTCTGACTTTAGCAACGGTTTCTGTTTATTGAATAGCCTAGCTCACTGAAAGATTTTACTTATTACCTGGAAGTGATCTTCAAGAACAGACTTCATCATTGGAAATATAAAGGGGATGCACCTAAATTTCGCCTGAAAACGGTACTATGGGCAAAATGCAGATAGTACAAAATAAGGCCGAAAATGCGGTGCATCCCCAACTTCTCTCCTCCCATCTGGGCATCGGCTGCATGCTTTAGTCTGTGTCCCCTCCAATCCCCGCTGCTCTTCACTGCCTGTGTTGGTAGAAGCAGCAGGGATCGGAGGGGACACAGAGCTGATCCATCTGCCGGTGCCCTGCGGGGAGGAGAGAAGCTGTCAGGACTGACGGTGTCAGCGGGAAGGAGGAGAGCTGCGGTAGGGCTGGAACGTTTCAGGATGGAGAGAGGGGAGGATCAGCAAATATGTGAAATATTTGCTGATCCTTCCGTGTACTGCTCAGACATTAATGTGATCACACCTATGTTTATACACCTATGTATATGTTTATAAATCTCTGAGGACATAGTATTTAATTACTGTGTCCCCAATTATGAATAAATAGGAAGTGCTCTACCGCACTTTCTGTTCATTCATGATTGTATCTGTTTACAATCTCCTCAATTTATGAATGAACAAGAAGCCTCTGTACTGAGTGCTGGGGCTGCAGAAATAGAGATTGAGGACTCTGTATCCTCATTCTTTTTTTTCTGTTTCAAAAGGTCTAAACAGACCCTGATATTTCCCCAAAGCCCCTAACAGGAAAGTAAAAAAAAAGATAAAAATAATAAAAGAATTAAAAAAAATGTAGAGGTTGAAAAAAAGTCATTTTCAGTTTCAGCCTGACACATTTAGAAATGTTGGCTTCAGTCTAAAAATGTTGTTTCAGGCATCCCTAGTCAAAATGTTTGATGTGAGCTTTCTAATATCATGATGTGGTATTTTGTCTTTACAGCTATACACCTTTCTCCAGAGAGGTTTCATAAAAGGGTGGAACAGTATTTGTCTGCATCCCTTCAGGAACACAAGGACACTATTTTGCTAGATTGCCGGAACTTTTATGAAAGCAAAATTGTAAGTATCCAAAAGGAACATATAGTACATTTCTCGATTTTGTTCTACGGAATATTAGAGAACTATGAGGTGAGTGCTTTTCACTCACCTCATAGTTCTAGCTGACCTGTGACAATGAGACTGCACAGGTCGGCTCAGTAGATCGGGAAGTGTGCGAACACATACCGGCGTTCGCTCACCTCTCCATCCTGTCACCGCTCTCTGCCGTGACAGTGGAGGGGCTGGATTCCCCGCTCCGATCCACCAGCGCTGACTGGCGGAACGGACGGGGTAGGGGGCGGGTACAGCTGGCTCTGCCTCTAGATAGGATCTCGACATTGATGTTGGGATCCGCTTTGGCTGCAGCGTCTCAGTATATCACGAGCTGTAGCTCGCGGTATACTGAGCTTAGGGTGACGGGAGGACGCTAGTTTGTGTCCTCCCATTACCCTAAAGAGAACTAAGGGGAAAAGCCCTGACCCCATAGTTCTCCTTTAAAATAAAACCACTAATACATTTTTGTGAAAACTGGTAAATATCAAAATATTACTCTTTGCTTTAGTAAGCCAGTGCCTCCTTTATAGTGGAAAGGATGTGTACTAGTTGCTTTGATGTCATAGCCTACCACTCCTGCCTCTGGAGTAGACCAGTACAGACATTTTTGTTCAGGTCAGCAGCCCACTAAGTAGTGAAAAAAAGGATGCCAACCTTGGAGCTTGTACCAGATAAAACAAGTTAGCAATGACCGGTCCTATATTTCTATTTCAACAGGCTAGAGGAAGTCCAGCATTTAACGTTACTATATTCATCCTCTTATTTTATATCTCGCTATATAGTACCCTATTTCTTATGTTATACAGGCAGTGTATAGTATAGATAATGGAATGATTGAGATAGAGAATGATTTGCTTTGTTTAGGTGAGTTAATTGTTTACCATCATCTGAGCATGCAAGTTATTTTTTATAGTAGACTGTATTCATTTTATATTATGCTCTGTATGTTCATTTAGGGACAGTTTCAGAACTGCCTGGCTCCAGACATCAGGAAATTTAGCTACTTCCCAGACTACGTTGATCAAAATCTCAACTTATTTAAGGATAAGACTGTGTTAATGTACTGTACAGGAGGAATTCGCTGTGAACGTGGTTCAGCTTACCTCAGATCAAAGGTGAGAAGATAGTTATAAGATTTAAACTGGCAAAATATTGTATTTAGTAGAATAGAATAATATAGAATTGTATTCTAATGTTCATTCAGGTCAAAGGTGAGAAAGCCATTATAAAATTTATACTGCCAAAATAAGGTATTTAGTTGAGTAGCATAATATAGAATTGTATTTTATAACAAACATTTATTCAGTAGATCCTGTTTTTAATGGAGGTTGACATATTAACATTTGGATAAAAGTTTGCCATATAGCTGGCACTGGGGAACATTTATGTACATTTTCAGGATTTAGGGGCCTGTTCACACCATCTAGTGTGTTTCTGTGACTTGAACCCTCTCCACGTTCTGGGGTGGAAGGGAGCGTGGCGGTACCATCTATTTCATGGGCAACGCAGACACACTTCACTAATAATCTGACGCCATAGACTAGAGAGGGGTTTTTTTTTTTTCATCCTAAGGATTTAATAAGTAAAACACTGGAAGAGGATTGATGATGGGAAAAGCTCAATGTATGGCCAGTTTTACTCTTATCAGCCTCATACTATCATGTTCCACAATGCTGATCTTGGGCCTGAGCAAAGTTGGCTGCACATCCAACTACCTGTGTAAGTTTATGAGTATTTTTGGTCATAAAGATCATAACTACTGAATTGTTTTTGTATTATTATAATGGTTATTATAACCTTTCCAGCAGGCTCTAATGATATGAAATACCCACCGTACTCCTGGTAGACAAAGATGTGGTAAAAAGGCTACGCTTTACGTTACATGAGGGAGCTTAAAGTGACATTAAACCCTCAGATTTTTTAACATAAACCAATACTGTAATGTGTGCCTTACTGTAATCCATGGTAGTTTCCCTTCTCTTTGCTGCTCTCCCTTTTAAATCCTCATGTCTTCTCATGCTCTGCAGAACTTCCCTTTGCAGCTCAGGACCTCTTCCTGTAGTGCTGGCTCAGGTTACAAGCCTATAGAAACTAATACACAGACACCATGTATCCATTCCTGAGACAAGGCAGTCTGCTGCAAAACAGAAGTTCTGCCCAGCATGAGAACAGATACAGATTTAAAAGGAAGCAAAGAGAAGGGAAACAACCATGGATTACAGTAAGGCACACATTACAGTATTGTTTTATGTTAAAAAATCTGAGGGTTTAATGTCACTTTAAGGGCTACAGGTTTTTATCCATACCAAGAGAAAAGTACTTTTTTACATCAAAACAATGTGATTTGCTAATGCTGATATGCTCTGTTGATTCGTTTTGAAGAGTGAATGTGAATAATGAGCTTAAGAGCTCTTTGATTACACTCCAACAATGATGTTATTGTGAATACCATTAAAAAGATCAGAACGCGATCCTCCACATCTTTCTCTAAACTTTACTACTAAGCCTCTCTGAAACCTTGGCTAACACCAGTGTGCCCCACTGGGCTGGCATGTATGTCAACCAGGTGGTGGGCACCAATAATCGATCGCACACGATAACAACTATACGCTACAATGGATATAAAGTTTAGGTTATGTTATCTAATTAACCACTACGTGCCGATACCATTACCCATTTGTACTTCAAGAACCACCACCTGATATGCATGCATATGCTTTGCTTTCACCACCTTATTTGTCAAAACAAATTTATTGCAATAACACAAAAAGGGGCACACTTTGCCAGCCTGGCATGTATATCTACACGACCATAGGTAGCAACTATTAGTCACCATCAAGGATCTGTCTATCTTATAAGATTCTATTGATGCCACTGATGTACAGAGGCCCAGAACGCAAGCCTGATGTTTTTTACAAGTGATTGATGTCTTACCACTTATAGTGGATACTTTTGTTATACTTTATATACCAATAAAAATCTATTGAACTAAAAAAAAAAAGATCAGAACGCTTCTTTAATCCGAAATATACAGTAGTGTTTGAAAACATTGGTTTGAAGTGATTTTGTATGAAACATATGCAGCATTTTAATCTTTTTATTTTTTTTCTGACTATAGGCTGTTTGTAGAGAAGTATACCAGCTGAAGGGGGGCATCCATAAATACCTGGAACAGTTCCCAAATGGCTTTTTCAGGGGAAAGTTGTTTGTTTTTGATGGGAGATATACCATTTCTTCTAATGATGACATCATATCAAGTAAGTACTGTGACTGTTGAATCACTGCATAAAAGTTTTAATTGAAGCTGAATAGTGAATCGAGATGGTGGTGTGGGGGGTGAGTGGAACTTGGAAAAGAGTGCCTGATGCAAGAGGTACAGTAGTTAGGAATAGATTACCATTATGTAACATTGTGTTGTGACTAAAGGTAGGCATTCATGAGAACATGGTGATCATGCAAAGGAATTATTCCAAGCAATGTTCTTTGATCTACAACTAGGGCAGACATTTTCATACTTACTTCTATATATCTATGTATATATATAAATAAACAATAAAGGTGATCAGCGCCAGTAAGTGTAATGTGGAAATAAGAGCTACCAAGCACTAAGGATATAACTAAATATCTGGAAAATGTGAAAAACAATATTGTGCCGAGCTAATAATCATACATATCTAATAAATTGAAACATATATAAATGAGTCACATATATGAGCCTTCAAACAAATGAGGCATAGAAAATATCTACACAGAGACAAAAAAGCAATATAGACAAAAAAAAGTCCAAAGGAAAAAACAAACGCAAACAATGGTGATTGTGCAAAAAAAAATTCCTCAGATGATTCGCAGCCAATGTGCATATAACTCTCAGGTAAGGATAATCACACAATGCAGGCAGAACTTCACCTCCACCCAGTGAGTGATGACATCAGGTGAGTGCTCACCTGGGGAGGTAGACCCACAGAGCTAGGTCAAATGCGCTTATTAATCCTCTATACTGAGTGTCCCTGCTCATTCATTAACATGAGAACATTGTTTGTTTACTATAACTACAATTATGAATGAATGGGGGTGATGTAGATCACTCCCATTCATTCATAATTGAGGATACAGTACACATACCATATCCTCAATTATGTACCCACACTCAGCGATCACTGATCGCTGAGTGTGTGTACATTGCTTTTCTCTCTGACACGCTGTCACAGGAGGCTGATCCAGCGGTGTAGGGAGGAAAGCCCAGCCTCCTGTGACAGCGCTGTCTCCACCCCCACACCTCTCTGCCGGACTGTGATCGGCGGCCGAACGGTGAGGAAGGAGAGACGCCGGCCGCTCACAGCGCTCTCCACCGCAGCGCTCGGCCGGCTGTCACTTTCTTTTCTGCCCGCTGGGACATAGAGCAGCGCCCAGCGGGGAGAAAATAAATCACGGATGCACCGATGTATCGGCAGGAAAATGGCACTTTCGGCATTATGCGATGATACTTCTCAAAGCAACAATGAGCTGTAGGTTGAGTTGGCAGTCCCACAACATCACCTTTTGGCTTTTCAAGTTTGTAACCTCAATCCTATTAAAACTGCAAAGCCCACCTGAGTGTACCTTTTATAGCAGGGCTACAAAAACTCTTCCAGCATTTACAATTGATATATTTAACAGTTAAAAGCCCAACTCCATCCACATTTGGATAGAATAAGGAAGGAATAGAAACTGTCAGGTTGTTATTGCTGCTTGTGACACTGTTGGGGAGGTGTCCCCTCACCCTTTATCCCTGTGACACCAGGGCAAGAGTGGAACAGATCTTACTGTGACAGGAAGGTACAGACCGCTATAAACACCTCACAAAGGTTCCAACGTTCCCTACTGTGCTGAAAAAAACAGTTGGGCTAATTATTAAAGGTTCCAATATTGTTCACTTGGCAAAGGAAGTCTTCCCTAAAGCTGGCCATACACTGCTCAAATCCTGCTGACTCGGCCTAAATTTGAAAGTTTGTGGCCCCATTGGCACCCCTCTGTTCAACAAAAGTTGATTTTTAAATTGATCTTTGTTGAAGAAGCCGGTGTAAACATTCTTAGCCGCACTGCGCCTGCAGCCAGTCAACTGTGATTACTGTTTGGGTATTCTGACAGCAGCACATCTGCCATTGTCAGAGTAGAATACCTCAGCGTGGATAAAGGAATTATGCTTTTTACCCTGTGGGCTAAACAAGAAAAAGCAATCAGTGTATGGCCAGCTTTAGCTTAGTAAACAAGGTGAATTATTTATTTTTTGCACATAATTGGGTAATTGAAGCGAACACAGATTCACCTTATTACTAAGCTTAGTGAACATTCACTTTGCTAAGTGGACAGTCTTTATTCCTTTAAAGGAGAAGTATTGGGAGAGTAAAATGTACTCTACCCAATACGTAGAGTCGGTGTGTGACACTGCAGCTGTCGCACGTCGGCTCTATAGATCGAGAGCTGAGTGATCACAAACCACTGATCATTCAGCTTACAGCTTCTCTCTGTGAAGATTGCCCCCTTCCCTCTTCTTTGCTCCAGCGCTCATTGGAGGGACAGACAGGGGAGGTGGCAGGCACAGCTAGCTCTGGCTCTAGAGAGGCATAGCCAGCTGTCAATCAGTGTGGTGGATCCTGACAATATTGTTGGGACCTTTCCCAGCTGCAGCGTGGCTCTGCGCTGTCAACATATAGCAGGCAATGCCAACATTTCTTTTTCCTCTGACTCACTGTCAGTAGAAAACATAAATAGAGGAAATCTACCCAATGGGGTCACGCATAGCAATCCAAACCTGATCGAGGTTCTAAAACACTTCCCACTTTATCAACATTAGATTTGGGATTTAAGAAAGGTTTGGTTGACAAGGGAAAATGATTGTGTTGACAACATAATCTTGGATTGAGTATGGCTTTCCAGACCAGAGGTGTGTATAGTCCTGATGTATATAGACTGCAGATATTAATGTATAGCACAGGGGTCAGCAACCTTGAACACTCAAAGAGCCATTTGGACCCGTTTCCCACAGAAAAGAAAACACCGGGAGCCACAAAACCCTTTTGACATCTAAAATGAAGATAATACTCCATATATCATGTTTTACCTATATGCTATGTATAGCATGTATATAGGTATACTGTATGTGGGCTTAGTAATGCACTGGACTCACCTGCCAAGCCTCGCAATGCAGGGATCGGGGCATGTGACTCACATTTCTCCTCTCCCGCCACCTGTTACTAGGGACGCGGCCGGAAGAGGAGGTGAGTCACAAGACCTGCCCCCTTACTGAGAAGCCCGTCGGCAGTGCGGAGACCCTGCACTGCCGCATATTCCACCGGGGGGGGGCCCAGGACCGGACCTCACTGGGCCCCACAGCCTCAGGCAGTAGTTCCGCCCCTGGACAGGGAGCCGCAGCAGAGGGATGAAAGAGCCACATGCGGCTCCGGAGCCGCAGGTTGCTGACCCCTGGTATAGCATAATACCATAAAAACTATTTTATTCGTATACATTTATCAGCACCAGGAATAAACACGGTGTACAAAACAGGTGTGTTTGCCACACACGTGAGTTCAGTGAACCCTACAAATATCAGGTGGGGGGGGGGGGGGCGCTTTTTTGCGGAGGGGGGGGGGGTGGGGGGGGGGATCATTTTGGCAAAGTGGGTGGGCGATCTATTAAAATGAAAAAAGTCTAAACAAACCAAAAATTATTTTATATGAATACATTTCTATGTAAGTCCTGATAAATAAATTATTGGGATGTTTTTGGGATGAGAAAGCAACGACGTTCATTTTGATATATAAAGAAATAGCCCAGTTATCGAAGTCTAAACCCTGTAACTGCTAGGACTGTGCATGACAGAACTGTATGTAAATGTCTTGTTTATATGACTGTCAAAAAATTGGCAGATTGGGATGTGGCGCGGGCTTTCATAACCAATACTTTCAAAACTATTATAGCAGAATATGCCTTAAAACAAGATCACTTGCACTTCTGTGTATATACTCTGTGACGGTGAATTTCTCTCACTTGTTTTTCTGCCCTAGGTTGTCGTTATTGTGGTACGTCTTGGGACAAATACAAGTTGTGCTCTACTCATTACTGCTGTCAGTTGGTGCTGACCTGCTCAAAGTGTCAGGAGCAAGGGCTCACTGCCTGCTGTCATACATGCCAGGAGAAAGGGCTCCACATTCAGTGTGACCAAAACCAGCAGCATTTTAAAGAAGAATGTGAATGTACACAAAAAAGGCCTAAGATTCCAAAAGAAACTCTTTAGACTGAACTGCCTTTTACCGATATGTTTAATCCAGGGGTTTTTATTACAAAATAATACTTTTAGTGATGGAATTGCACAACCTCTATATGCAGCTTGGTGAATTTCAATATTGGTAATACTATTCCTAAAAAATATAACAAGATCAAATGGAGATATAATTCTGTATTGTTCATGAAGGCCCATTTGTTCTGCATTTGGAAGAAGTAACACAAGTGCTTTTACAGGAGTGCAGCGTTTGCACAGTTTTATGTGAAAATCCTGTTTAATACAGATGCATTTTACTAAGCCATAAATTGATGATTAGGTGTTTTGTAGATTATTAATAGGCTCTGTTTTTAAATATAGACATACTATGATTATACAGTACTTTGTATATACAGTTTATCCCCTATCCTGAAAAACAGGGGTTACTTCATTTTCTCCCATCAGCCATTTATATTCTAAATTGTAATAAAGTCTTATTGGCTACAATTGCTGAAGAAGGTACTTCTGCTTTTACATTTATTGTAAGATTTTATTACAGACGACCTAAATTGTGGAAGATATGCTCAAAAAAAGACAAGCCGGGGACAAAGGACTAGTCACCACTATTGCCTGTAGGTGCCTTGTAGCTGATCTTTCCCCATTATTGACTTACTATTTCTTGCTCTGCACTGTGTCTCTGTGTACAGAAGAGGGCTTGGCTTCCTCAAGTCAGAGATGGCACCCTGGTGATTGGTGGGGTAATAAGCAACAGCGAGAAAGGCCCAGGAAGCACAGATCCACAAAACAAATTAAGCAGACACAGGGAGATGCTTGTCTGCAGGTCCCCAGGTACAGTTTTCTCTCCAGCAATAGATCACTAAGGGCAGTAGTGACCAATCACCAAATCTCGATTCAAATTATGTCAGACTATAAGTCACAGGCAGCAGTGCCTTAGATGATCTCGCACTGTAGATATACGGCTATGGGGCTGGAGGAACATGAGTGCCTATGCACAGAAAATGTGCTGCTATTTTTCAGAAGGAATTCAGGCAAAAGGAAAAAAAATTTAGGGTACTGCTTAGACACAATTAACATTTCTAGATGTCCCTAGACACAGAAAATCTTCACTTTTTGAGTTCAGGTCCAATTTGAGGCCATGCAGCAAAATGAAACAGTTATATGCGAGGATGTGAATGTTGATAGCTTCAATCTTGTCATGAAACTCATCAAGACCTTGTAACTCTAAGAAACACACCACAGACCCAAGCAGCACATTATCTGAGCAATTTCATGCTGTTCATTATGTTGCCCATTCAGTGTACAGTGAACAAGGGTCTTAGATGACCTTCATTTATGGGGGGGTTGATCATTACATTTCCTAAGAAATTAATTGAAAAAGAAGTAGGTGTTTTCTACTGGTGGAGAGAGTAGCTTAAACAGTTATGCATTTTCAGTAAGCAAATTCTGTGACTCTTCTATCACGGCCACTGGCCTGGAACAAGTGTGCTTATTGTGCTTCATTGGTTGCATGCTAGTTCTAGGTCCATGGCTCAAAACATATTGAAATCAGAGAATTAACATTGCTGCCAGGCAACTAGTATCTTTAGAAACAGGTCAGCAATGGCAGCCTCCAGGTTTCTCTTGTCACAGGTTTCCTTTAAGTTTAGAAAATGCAATCATGGCAAGTGCAAAGTCCAAAGAGCACTGTGGACCCTAAGGGCTTGTTCACATCATGTCCTTCGAGCTGCATTTGTCTGCATGTCACCGCACGTGTCTAGTGTGAACAGGGCACAAAGAAAACAATGCCCTGTACACACATGTGCGGTGCTGTGCACCAAAAGTCCTAAACCAAAGCAGTCATTCAGATTTTACATTGCATTACTAGTTGTGGAGTATTTTGGTTTGCTGTTCAGGTATTTTGTTAAATTCAATGAGAAATTTTTTTCTGTTGTTCAGCTTTTTTTCATCTTCTTCACTGCAAATTGTTTTTCATCCAAATGAACTATTTTTAATGTGCTGTATACAAATTTATTTCTGTACAAATGTGGTAATATTTACTTGATTTAGCCTTCCACTGATAATTACTGTGTTTTATAAGTAAATAAAACTATTAGAAATTGGATTACATTAATTACCAAGTAATGTTAAAGAGCATTTGTAAATGCAAAAGCAGAACAAGTAAAATATGCCTCTACAGACAAAAAGCTGCTGTTAAGTATTAAATGTGTTTTCTTTTGTGTAATCCTTGCCTTTACTTGTTCACTTCATACAAATGGTATGGGTCAAAATACAAAGCTTCTTCAAGGTACACTGAGGTTGATTTACTAAAAGAGTAGCATCTCTTCACTTAGCAACATGAATGTTTACCTTGGTGTCACAATGCCCTGGAATCCATGCCGGATTTTGCCTAGTGTCCCCTGTCCATGCCTGATTTTCCCCTTGGTCCCTTGCTGATTGGCTGTCTGCCTATGGGGTTTCACAGGGCCGCGGCCAATCTTTGCACTTCCTCTCCTATTTAGAATTCCCTCACTTGTTGCTCTGGGTTCGAGCAATGAGTCAGTTCCCTCGTGCCGGACCCTCTGTGATTCCCTGTGTTTTTGTGCTATGCTGCATCCATGCGATTCCTCATGCTTCCCTGGCAGCCTGAGTTTGCTCAGCTGTGTTGTTTGTGATTCTCTTTCCAGTGTTCCTGTATTTCTCGCAGCAGTTTCCCTGTGTTCTGTTACCGGTCTCCTTGAGTGTCTGTGCTATGCTGAGGTTGGACTTCCTCCTGACAAACCTGCACCCAATTTGATCTTTTGCCATATGTGCTCCAAGATGGAGACTCTCATAGTTTAAAGTTAGGACCGCACTATCTACAGGAGCCTTGGAGCAGCTGTGCGGCTTTCACATTTTCTGCAGAAGACGTGCATCTAAACCTCTGTTTTTAACCTTAGCGGTGAGACAAGTTTTTTGGCATGCTGGCTGGCGAGTGTGCTGGGAAAACTTTGCTGTTTGTACTATTTATAAACAATTCTCAGTTAATTCCCCTGTGAATCTCTGAATGTTTTTTTCTGTGCAAATATAGGCATAAAACAATCCTGTATATTTTTTCTTTTCAGGCTGCGTTATGGCCACTAGCTGGAGCTGAGGAGCATAGGAAATAAATACTTATGCTTTTCACCTCCCCTCTAGTGGCTATAATGCAGTATTACATTACTTTACATTCATCTGAAAAGAAAATATGAAAAATCTTAATCTTTTCCTCTATTCGCACAGAACGAATGTTCTCAGAGGTTCACAGGGAAAATGGCTCTGCAAATTATTTTTAAATGGAACCTTAAGTGTATAGCAGCTACTCCTTTAGTAAACCAGTCACTCTTTTAACATACATACATAGAGAGGGTGCCAACAAGTATTGTGGTATTGTGTGGCAATCCCACTGTAGAATTGGGTGTTATGATCACCCAGGACTCTCATTTCAGGAAGCAAGGGTTTTCCTGGATTCTTCGTGGGAACTGGGAGATTTCAGAGAATTGGGAGGGATGAGATCTCAATTCCTTGGTTCATGTTTTGGTAGTAACCAGCACTTGATGATTGCGCAGGAGTGCACTGCTCTTAAGGAAAGGGTGCTGGCTAGGGGAATTAGCGCCTGCTGGGAAATAAGAACAAACTGTGCTTAAGAGTCAGGAGGACTCCCCCAGAAGTCAAAGTGGAGTCAGTTGGTGTGTGTGCTGGAGGCACATGAAGACAGCCAGGGAGGCTGGGAAAACTGGTGAAGCTAGGAGACTTGAGAGTCTGAGGGGCCGTCAGTCAGAATTATCACTGTTAAGAGTGGAAGCCAGGAGGCAAGCAGTGCATGGATGCTGTACTGAACAACCCCTGCGAGGGCATCCAAGGTGGCTATGTGAACTTTTGGTCATGTTGTGTAGTAGAAAGGACAGAATCAACGTTGCCAGTAACTAGCAAAAATAATCAGTTTTTAAACAAAATCTAGTTTAGCACATATCCTGGGTGAGCAGGGACAGGCAGATTATAATGTATTTTAGGACAGGCTGGTCTACCTGGCCTTCTAGTCTACTACTATATAAAAGAGACAGATAAAAGGAAATGGTTTCTTCTAGGGCAAATAATGGCTTCAATAACTGGAATCCTAATCTTCTAGGTTTACAGGTGATGGATAAGCCTATTCCTAAACATGAAAGCCTCTTCATGAGACTGCAGACGATACCCCAAACTATTATTCATATGAAATTAAAACACCGACAACTGCATATTGGCAAATATTGGCCGCGGTACTTTTATTGGTATTAAATGAATTAAACTTTATTGAACCAAACATATAAATGACCAAACATCAACTCAACACCATGAATTGCTTAGTCATTACAACTCAAGCAACCCAAACCATAATGTAAATGTGAATGAATCCCCCTCAATAAGAGGTGACAGACCACATAAGGGTACCGCGACAGGGGAGGGACAGAGGTGCGTTCCAACCAACTGGCACTGATCCCAAGCAGAGTCCTCCTTTATATAGGGATAGCCGCTGGCTGGAGAAGGTTCTGGATGTGATTTTTTTTTTTTCCCGCCCAAACCTCCAGGCAGAATACCTGAGGAATTTTTTAGGGCCAGCGGCACTGCAAGTAAACGCAAGAGAAAATAGCAAAAGGCAATACAGATTATCTGGGATCACCGCAGTCCCATGCAAGGGAGCCCTTAAAGATGCCCCCTCTTTGAATCTATAGTTTTAGGTTTACTATTTTGGGGTATTAATTTAATTTTGCTGTACAACTGTACATCAAAATAAAAGTGTTGGAATTTGAACAACCCTGTGAGTGGTTCGCAAAACTAGAGGCAAATGCTTTGCCTTATATGTTAACAAATGCTCCAAAAAAAAACTTGGCATTTATGAAGTGACAACCAGTAAATCCGCTGCTGAGAGAAAGTATTTCAAGTTCTTGCCAGCACAAGAAACTCATAAGTTTCTGATTTTACATCTGATGTCACTTCAATTTTGGTGAAATGTAATCTTAAACTGCTCAGTAGTCTGCTGCAAACTTGCTTTCAGTGCAGTGATTCTCAACTTTGGTTCTCTCCAGGTACTAATGGGTCATTTCAGTGAACTTAAATGAAAAAATAAAGAAAACAGCTGCACTCCAGTTTCAAACATAGAGATCTCAACGACTGGACAGTAAAAATAGTTCATTCAAAAGGTTTGAAAGCTGTTTCAATTGCAGATCATTTACATTGGATGCTGCTCCTTAATGTTTTTAAAATGTTAGCTTCTTGCAGAATCAGATGTTCCCCTGAACACTAGCCCTGATATCCTATTTAGAGTGACTCCTTTCCTTTGTAGGGTGCTTCTTTTTCAGAAGGTGGTGAAGCAGCAGCTGCCCAACATCCAGGAGGCGATACTGCTGCTTCCTGAATGCAGGTTTTTTTTATTCCAATAGAATTTTCTATTGAAGTACTAGACCACAACCGCATGTGTACCGTTCCATTGCTTTCAAATATTGTATATGACAAGCACCACATACTGTTGATTTTTGTGCACCGCCGTCCAAGCATCCCAAGCGCGGCAATGTGTGCATAACTGTGTGGGTGTAGTGCTCACAGTGCAGCCAGTGGCTGGGGGGTGATAAAACCGAATGTCAATCGCACAGTTTTACCGACCCTTCACCACCCATGTGAAAGGGACCTTAAACCTCCCCCTGCATTCAGGAGGTGGAAGCATTGCCTCCTGAATGCCAGGAAGCTGCTGCTCCACTGTCCTCTGAAAAGCAAGATGGTGGTGGAGGCTGCCGCCCATGTGAAAGTTTGTTCATTTTTTTTCTGGTCTTTGTAGTTTATTACATGAAGGTCATTTTTCCATAAAAGAGAGAACTAGACTTGGTCAACGAAAGACAACTTTTATTTGATTCTTTGAAGTTCAATGAACAACACAGGCATACATTATAAGGCACATATAGGGTAACAAAAAAAGTTGCAGTTTAAGAGTAAAATGCACGGAGTGGTATAGATTTTTTAAACTGCATTGTAATTATTAAGAGCATTTACAGTTGGCTTATATCTCCTATGCGCATTGTTGACCCATGATGAATAGCATTTTAAAGCTAGCCTGTAGTACAGCTTAAGGCAGAAACATGAAAAGAGCATGTCTACGTTATTCCTCAACGCACACCAACACACTTGTATGCTGTGAGCAGGGCACATAGAGAACAATTTATTTTTTCAGTGTCCTTGTGTGGAGCCTGCGATGATCAATGCAGATCGAGGGAGCACAACAAATTTGGTGTGAATGTTCCCTTAGATATGCCTGCATGTACCTTTAGCTGTCTTCAGAGTCCAGTAACACCAAAGCCTTCAGAGCTCGTTCTTCAAATGTCAGAATATTGGCCCACCTCCCCCCTACATGATCACTGATCCCTAAATGTGATGAATGATCTCCCTTTGCAAAAATGAGGTTTGGGTGGGGCAGGTCAAAGTTCTGACCTCAATGCTGAAATCCTTATTTGTATAGCTAAACACATTGTGCAACTCTGAAGACAACTCATTATATGGACGGGCAAGTCCTGCTGACACTTTACTATACTACACTTTAAGATAACTTTAGAGAATAGTTATCAGAAAAAGGCTCACTTTTCATGTGATTTAACTTTACATTTATAACCTGTATTTACTGTATAGCTCAGATTTAGTCCTGATTGTTATATATCTTTTAGCTCTTTTGGATGAAATCCTCTGTGTGGCAGCCAATGAGAAGAATGTTGCAGCAACAGGTTTAAGGCATACTATTTAGACAGGAGGATTCAATTCACAGGCTTTTTACAGTTGATTTGCTCCTAATTATTTTTTATGTTTTGTAAACCATTTGACTGGGAACGTTCTCACTCACTGCAGGCTGCTAAAATCTTTTTCATGTCCCTCCCGATGAAATTAAAGGTAAGCTAGCAGACATGACCACCTTCCGCCCCTATCGCTAAAGCTGGCCAGTGAAAATACAGCGCTGGACCCGTGTGGTTATTCTCTTGCAGGGTTCTTCACAAAAGGGTGAGGAGTTTGGAGAAGTGAACAATCTAGGACAACATAGCTGTACTGGAAAGTGAGCTGAATTGGAGAAGTTTTCCAAATCAGCTATATTGTCCTAAATTGTTCACTTCTCCTGCCTTCTCCAAGCTCTTCACCCTTTTGTGAATAACCCTGTTGGTGTTTCTCATTCAGCAGAAGTTATCTGGCTAATGGGTAGGCAGCTTCAACAAGCCAAAAAATCTTGGCTCAACAGTGAATGCAGTAGAAGTAGCAATTGAACGTCACACCAATTAAAATAGTCCAGATACAACTTTATTCCATTAGGGTCAGGAGACATTCAAGTAGTGTAGCAAATGCATTTTGGAGGTCCAAAACACACCCCTTCATCAGGGCTTAATAGGAGAAATCATTTATGTGCACTGCAATCCCTGCAGCTTGAAAGTTGTATTGAGCTGTGTTGGAAGAACTTCAGGCTTGTCAGCAGCCAACTAAAGCTGGGTAGATATACTTTGAATTTCTCTTGTTCAGCCACGTGGGGCTGAAATCCATCTATTCTACCATCCATGCTAAGCAGCATAGATGGAGGAATCCCCAATGCTAGCTATTGTAATCAGTGGCTACTGTATACCCAAAAAGGGCTTGTATCTGATCAGATGCAGACTTTTTGCACTGGCTTCTACATCAAAAGGGAGGGTGGGTAGTGGTAGTGACAGGGCCACCCATGACTTGTATTCTTGCTAAATCGTCTGAAATTCCAGCAGTGTATGGGCAGCTTAGGCCTGTACATGGCGAGTAAATTCCTCAGCCAGTAAGTAGTACTCCAGAACTATGAATTCACTGCACGTTGTCAAGCTTGTACAAGTAACATGCTTCAAGCCTGTCCTCATTGCTTTCTTTTCAGTGGGTATGAAGGTTTGCAAAAAACTAGTACAGATTAAAGAAAAACTCCACGTTTCTTTATCTGCAGTCATTATTATCATTTTCTAAAGCTGCTGACAAATGTTAATGTTACTTCCTTACAAATATGTCAAACTGAGGGCTTTCTGTATACTGTTTATGTACAAGCCTCCCCCAGAAATGATATGCTGCTTCTGTGACTGGCTCATCATATTTTTATCTTATTATTTTACTGAGATTATTCAAGTGGTGATAATGAAGGCAGATTCCTTAAGGAAGAACTTTGTGCAGAAATTGTATTAACCCTTGCAGTAGGGCTACCTCTGCACTGCAAGGGTTAACTGCTTTTTTTTTGCCTACGGTCAAAAATAAAAAAGTTAGACCTCACCTGAACCTTGGAGCCAGCTCACTATTAGACTGGTCCTTCCAGCCTCACTCCCCCTCCGCTGCAGTGGTCTAAGGTCCTGGGAGGCATCATGTCCACTATACTGTACAGGACGTGAAGGGACATTCCATCGCTGCAGAGGAGGAGACCAGCTGGAGGGATCGGTGCCAGTTCAGAGGATCAGGTGAGTATAACTTTTTTTTTACCCTAGACAAAAATGAGCAGTTAACCCTTACAGTGCAGGGGTAGCCCCACTGCAAGGGTTAATAAAATGTAAAATGTTTGCCCGGCGTTTAAAGCTTGGAGCTCTGTTGATTAGAGCAGCGTTCGAGGGGGACATGTTGGACAATGGGTCACTACTTTGTGTGAAAAAGCTATGGCATGACTCTGTTATGTTCTGCCAGCACCTATGCCGCAGCACATAGCAGTAAGAAAACATAAAAGACTATTTGCCACATACTTATTACTGAATATGTAGCCAGGCTGCAATACAGTAATAAATAGCTAGGGTTCAACTGGGCTTTAAACAGGAACACAGTTAGGAAAACATCAATTTATCCATTAAATAAATATGTACCAATTGAAAACAGCTTGCTAATATCTTTGCAATGTTATATACATACAGTAGTTCACCTAGATATGACTGCTCATTTCTATATGAAAACTGGAGTTTTTACCTGTCAATCATGTAAAATAGGTGATATACAGGTATACATGGGTCTTATTTCATAAAAGACTTATGAGTTATGATTAGGGAGCAACTGACAAATTTTGTTATATCTCTATTCCTAAAATTATTTATTATAAATGGATGATAGGAAATGGAGGGAGAAGGGACAGGAACAGTATGCTGTAAACACATAGCGCTTTCCTTTTGTTGGGCCACTCCAGTATTGTCTACTATTTTCAAACAGCCTATTATCACAGATGGAGCTCGCCTCCCAGTATACTTTGGGCTCAGGAAGGATAAACTCCAATGCCAATGAACTGAGGGCTACACTGTGGCAGAAATTCATCAGTGCTGAACAGTGCTACCTCAATTGACATTAATTTCTGCACTCACCTCAATAAGCAATGGCGCCATATACTACTGGAGTGGAACAACCAGAAGGACATTCCATTACCAACGGTGCTGCCAAGGGGAATGATGATAACTAGTACTACTACTCCTGATGAAGACTGATATACAAAGCTAGTCTTTATACAGGTTAAAAATATTCTTTTATCTTCCCTGTAGTTTTGCAAAGTTTTAACAAACGTATGCTTTGCTTTCTCGATTGACCAACTAATAACAGTGTTTGTATGCAGTAATTGTAGAGAGCTTGGATTAACTATCATGGATTTCGTTTCAGATATACTAGTAATACATTATGTGTTCCGTGCTCATTATAGGTTACTTCATTAAACATGTACATTACCTATGGAGTCACACATATATGTGGAAAATCACTGTGCTGATCCCTGTGGCCCTGGAAGCAGCAGCAAAACAACTGAATGTTGCATTATCTGATGGCTGGCCATAAAGCAGGAATTGCCAGCAAATGTTTTATATGGATTACTCTTGTAGGTAATATGATGGTGATCCATTTGGGTACATAACAAATGACAAGAGACGCCTGAGATATGTAACGCAGTTGCTGGGTCCTCACTCTCTTGTAAGTATTCCACGCTCTGGTACAAACTCTTATTGGAAGGGGTCCTACTGTGTGGAGCGCTCCTCATTTCAGCTCTAAACTCCACTTCGGCATTTTGGAAGAATTGGGCCATCCAGATCGGCCAGTCTTCTCTTCCTCACTGGGGAAGCAAACAAAAAGAATTAGAACAAAACAAACATCAAATAATTAATTATCATGCTGTGTTGACCTTGAAATTACTGACAAAGATATGCTTATTTAAGAAGAAAACAGGCCAAAATTCAGTAAGTCGCTGATCTTGGTAGGTGAAATTAAATATCAAACATGTTGCGATGGGTTACAGCCCTTTTCACATAATCTCTAAAAAAGCCTTATTAAATAAGCTTGATTAACACATGCCTGCATTGGGACAGTAATTTCTCTCATCCACGTGGTGCAAACCTTTAATTTTCAAGGTCAATCATTTTTAATATAATTGTCCAAGCTTACCCATTTGTATTTGCACCTCTTATTTACATAGTTACATAGTATTTGAGGTTGAATAAAGACATTAGTCCATCAAGTCCAACCTCTTTCCTTATGTTTTCTAAGCCTGAAACTTCACTTTTGTGTTAGGGTCCATAGGTCACCTAACCCCTAAAATCTGCTGCCATGTCAACTGCCTTCTCGTCATTTCATCCACTAGGAGTGTGTTAATTAGCTGCTCAAATGACCCAGAAGCCGCAAAACATAGGTTGTACTTATATGTAGATACTAAGCAGGTTACTCACAAAGCTGCCGCAAGCAACAGAGTGAATAACCCAGCCAAAGTGAAGTGAGCCGAACGCTGTTCGGCTATTCACTTCTGGCTTGTACGGCTGATTTCAGCCGTACATCAGCAGCCTTCAGTCAGCTGAGAATGCTCTGCATGTTCAGCTGAGCCAAAGTGCAGAAGGAGTTTGACTCAGCCGATCCAACATCTGGATCGGCTGAGCCGAAACTCCGGCAGCTCACTCGCTGCCGTTCACTCCTGTTCTCATAATAATTATTTATTAGTTTAAAGAAAAGAAAAAAAAATTACAAATAATTTTACAAAACGATGCCGGCAAAAGAAAAACAATTGGGTGGAGCTAGCAGTGACAGCTAGCTCCCCCCAACTGTTTCCTATTGGCTGCACCTGCCAGAGTCTTCTAGCAGGTCCCGGCCAATGAATAACAACTGGGCGGAGCCGGCTTGGCTGAGCCGTTTCGACTGAACCGAAGGGCAGAGGTGGCCGAAGAATCAGCCGAAGTTACGGCTGTTTCCTTCGGCTCCGTAGTGAATAACCCCCTAAGTTAATTTCTGAACTTGGTGTGTTGGGCAATGCACACCAACAGCTATACTTTTGTATTGCAGCTGCTGGCGTGAATGGGCCCTTATGGTCAATTTCTGATATTCAATACTGCTGACGACTTAGACTACTCCTGCAGTAAACAGAGATTTCAGTAGGGACAACACTGTTATCCTGATTAGCTAAAAAACAAGAAAGACTGCCTGGTTACAGCAGGAACAAGCCTGGAACCCCAACAAGAGGATATAAGCAGCTGTGGACTTGTACTATTGAACTGCCACTAGAGGCCACTCTATAACACTAACAGTGGGCCTGTTAATGAGTGATCCTTGATGTATATAATTCTTATTCTTTGTAGTTTAAGAGAAGATCCTTTCTGCCTTTTGACATCCTTTAAAGGACTTTATAAGTCAGGTAAATACATATTCTAAATTATTCCACTGGATTTTCCTGCAAGTCTCCTTTTAAAAAAAAGTAAAACAGCTTCCTTTTCATTTAACAAATGTTAAATATATTGCAATGTAAAATATAAAAATGCAAAAAGGTGGCATGAAAAGCATGAAAACAGTAATGTCTGAAAAGAAAGAAAAAGTATTTTGATAAAAGTACAGAAAGAATACAGCATAAGCTGTGGATAGCCAGAAGGTGGCAGAAATAAGCACTGCTTGTGGCATAGGAAAGGCATTGCTAACAGAAATGCATAGATAATTTTTTTCTGTACTTATATATCTTCCAAGTCCAGAGTTGAAAAGTTATGCCAACGGACATCAGACCTACGTATACGAGCTGTGAACAAGAAGCACATTAAATGTTTCTATGGGCAATCAATAAGAACAAGTAAGGAAGAGTAACTTGTTTTCAGAGAAGTTGCAAATTTTCTACCCATTAAATAGATAAAATATTTATCAATTCACTATTACATAATATAAGAGGTTCTTAGATAGGAAAATGTTTTCTTGAATAGGGAAAATGTAACAAAACATAAGTCCCCCTGTTCCCTACAATTTGCGTACCCAATTCTGCCGAAAGTGGGTTGTTAAATATATATGTTCAAAAAGGAAAATTTGAATATGTTGAAATAAATTCCTAAACGTAAGTATAAATGTAGATAAATATAATCTGGGTAGAACTGGTGCATTATTTGTTTTCAGATTTAAAGTAGAACTTTAAACATTTTTTTTTCTCATTTTAGATGGAGTGGAGAACGTTGGAAATCAGACCCTTTGTTAGTTTTTCATTAAAGTGACACTAAACTCAGGAGTTAAATCTTAAAAATGCATTTACCTACCTTTTACTATTAAAAAAAAATGTAGCTTATTTGTGTGTGGACTTCAATCTCATTACAAATAAGTAAACTAAACGTGAGATTGTAGTCCATCACGGGAGCGAGCTTGGGGTGATGGCTACTTTACAACACACACAGGGACCATGGGGAACAAAGGTAGTCACCCTCCAGAAGGAAGGACAGTGTCAGCATGAATTTAGAGATGATTTGAGGATCTAAAGCTGAGTGATGCACAAAAAGGATACATTTTTCTTAATAATTGGGGTACTTGAATGCATTAAGGTTTAACTCTTGAGTTTAGTGTCACTTTAACATTCATGTTGGCGAGCTTCACTCTCAAGTCCTATCCACAAGACACAGCAGAAAGTGAGCAGAAATGTCCCCAATATGCTGGCAAGTCTCACCTTTTGTCACTGTAAAAGAACTCCTTACTAGCAGATTTCCCCTCTACTCCTGAGCAACAACTATAAAATGTTAGATTTCCTTCTGTCTTGGTGATATCAGTTACCAGAACAGAAAGTGACGGTGCAATTTCTCAAATAGGGACATAGACAATAATAAAACCTCTATCCCACTATCAAAAACAGAGAAATAAAAAAAGATTTGACAACTATAAGAATATACTTAGGTGTTGTAATTTGCACAGCACTAGCACTCCTAGATGGCGCTGACAAGTATAGGAAATGTCTAAATCATTAGTCATTAGGGGCACTACTACCATGCAAACGGCACCCGCCCAGCCTTTTATAAATGAACACCTTAATGTTCAAGCTATTACTTGTGCTTACTTTGTAGGAGTCACTGTGGATACACTTCAAAGCTAAACAATAATTAATTTTGAATTGACAAAAGTAGCCTGATTTTAGCCAGGCAACCTCTCTCTAAATACAAGTTCTGCAATGCCTGCCAAGTTTTTTTGTTTTTTTTTTAAATCTTCAGCTTCTCAGTTATTGTTAATTTCGCTGTACTATTTTGTGCATATCCCGCTCGACATTGTCAAGCATGACACCATTAGGAGTCCATTGCATGGTGAGAGGTGCGTTTCAATTAGGGATGCACTGATACAGATACTAGTATCGGTGCTGATACCGAGTATTTGGACGAGTACTCCTACTCGCCCAAATGCTCCGATACCTTCCCGGGTACAGAAACTTCCAGTCAGAGGAAGATTTCCTCTGACCGGCAGTGCCATGAGGCAACATGGAGCCGGCTTCCCAGCCAATCAGGAAGCCAGGCGGTGGGTAATGACTCACCACCTGGCTTCCTGATTGGCTGGGAAGCCGGCTTTATGCTGTTTGGCCGGCCTGATGCCTGGCCAATCAGCATCGAACCGGCTAGACAGCATAGAGTCGGCTTCCCAGCCAGTCAGGAAGCCTGTCGGCAGGTAATGAACTGCCTCCTAGCTTTCTGATTGGCTGGGCTGTTGAGCTAAATGCTCAACATTACAAAACCACATTCCTAATCTCTACAAGAAGCATAATGGGAGATGATCTGCAACGCAGCCAACCAGTATCACAGCCATACACAGAAGTACAAACAGCCAGGCTGGACCTGGACAGAGCCCGCACTAGTTGACAGACAAATATTCCAGCGCTCCAAATAGGCATTGGCTGGAAAGCCGACTTCCCGGCCAATCAACATCAAGCCGGCTAAACAGCTGGCTCGATGCTGATTGGCATGGAAGCTGGCTCCCTGACCAAACTGCATGGAGCCATCTTCCAGGGCAATCAAGAAGCCGGCAATGAGACGTTGCGCGGCTTCCTGATTGCCCCGGGTAGCCAGCTCCATGCTAGTGGAAGTACCGGTATCAGTACTCGGTAACGACGAGTACCGAAAGATAAATATTGGTATTCATACTCGATATATCAAAAAATCGGTATTGGTGCACCCCTAGTTTCAATAGACCTTAATGTTGTAAATGTAATTTGTATATGTATTAACTAAATTACTAGTAGTTACACTTTCTATACAATAACCCAGCCTCAATAGATTTTAGGACCATAGCAAGAAAATACAAGTAAGAACAATTTAAATATGCAGCAGAATTACTCTTATTTTACAAAAGGAGTTCAGAAAGCTGGCTGATTACAGCACCAACTCACCAAGATCATTATTGTTCATCATTGCATTTGATGCTCGCAGTCTGGGGCCTTGTTGAGTGAAATGATAACCAAATTTCAAAAGCGTTGCATTTTTTTCTAACATATTTGCAATTTCCATTTCCACTTTATTGCCAAGAGCTTGACTCTAAAGGGAACAAAAAAATGTACATTACATGAAGCGTATTTACAGAAATGACAGACTAAAAATATCTCTGTACCTTCCCAAAATCAGGATGTTAGATTGGGGGAATCTTAAGCTGGGAAGTCCATATTATATGCACATTGTGTACAATTCCTCCAAATGAAGCAAATGAGGTGTTTAAACACACTGCTTGTGGCATATGAAAGGCATTGCTAACAGAAGTGCATAGATCATTTTTTTCTGTACTTATACATCTTCCAAGTCCAGAGTTGAAAAGTTATGCCAACGGACATCAGACCTACGTATACGAGCTGTGAACAAGAAGCACATTACATGTTTCTATGGGCAATCAATAAGAACAAGTAAGGAAGAGTAACTTGTAATCATAAAAAAAGGGGGTGGAGCGAAGAAAAATACTCACGAGTGCAAAAGTGCTGGAGTTGCTGACATCATTTTCAAGATGGTAGTAACCAGCAGCAGTAACAGGCCTTTTGGGTGCCTACACTAAGGTGGCTTTTACAGATAAATAACATTCATAAAATATGTCAAATGCACATATAATCTTCTGCGGAGATTGTTTTTGAAATTAATGGTGTGGTGACATGGTCTCCTTAACAGCAGTGACAAGAGATGAATATAAGCCCACCACTCCCTGAGGGGTGGACCAGAGCCAATTACACTCTACTTCAATAGCAGGGCTGTATACATGGGATTCTTGTTCAGAGCCTAGTCTTGGTTGGCAACATTTCTGGAAGTGGCAGCCATAAGCAAACAGGAGAAAAATGAAGAAGCTGCCCATGCCCCATTCCATGATGTACTAAATTTAGTATTCTGCCAAACAAGAAATCGGTCAGTGGTATCTCAGATATCATCATTGGCCATGTTTTTACCTGATTGTCTATCTTCAGCTCAACCAGTGATGTGTTATACTGGAGCGACTCTACCAGAGCGAGGATTCCGTTTCCACTGATGAAATTAGATTCCACATTTAAACTCCTCAGTGTATTATTGACCTTCAGCATGTCTGCCAAAGCCTTAAACAAAGAGAAAGCCCTGGATCAGTGTACTGCATTCACAGCTTAGGTGCTGAGTTTATAGTTACGGAGGCTTAGCTGATAAGATGTAAAGATGAACAAAAACCAGAGCAACCAGTTAGATGTCAGCTATTTAGAGTACTTAACACATGTGTAAAATAATATTTCTGATTGCTGTCTGTTGCTTCCCTTTAATTTTTCAATATCTTGTAATTAAACAGACCAGCCTAGGGCAAATAATTAATTTGTTGTGCAATTCAGCTGCCTTGTTACGACATATTTTAGCTAGACCCAATATTATTTAGTTACATGTGCCACTATGCAGGAAGGCAGAGTATTAACTGGTTTTGGGGTTTCTGTGCTTACTCAAATCATCCAGATGAAAGAATGTTTGCAAATAAGCTCACTGACACTAGCAAGGCAGCTCCCAAACAAAACAGGCCTCCCTTGTTGGGTAACCAGAAGTAACTCAATGTTCAGAAACAAAGGGCGCCAAACCAATCAGGGATTAGAATGGGATGTGGATTTGATTGGATAATCCAATGGATTGCTTTATGATTTAATGAAAAGACCTCCCTTAGGGCTGGAATTAGAATTGGCTGATGGAATTTGGGCCTGGAGGTCCTGCTGCTAATTACAATTTCAGCCCTAAAGGTGGTCTTTTAATCATCTCCTATCAAATCATATAGAGATCCATTTGGTTATAGTATCTTTTGAGTCCAATCAAATCCTTATCCCATTCTAAGCCCTGATGCAGGGGGAGTGTTGTTGCCTTCGAAATGGGTTGGCTGTTTTTGTTTGATCGAATTGTGAACAATTAAAGGCACTTTGGACTCTTTCACCTTTTTGGTTTGGTTCCTTTTATTTTTGAACATGGAAGCTGATCATGGCAGGGGAAGGAGGGGAGAGAGAGGGGACAGCTGACAATGGGACAATGGGAGAGGCAGAGAAGTTGGGAAGGAGCTAGCTGGGGAGAAAAGACAGAGAAGGCAGAGTGTGAGCTCATCAAGTACCCAGAAGAGTGATAGAGAGGAGGCAGAACAGATGACTGTGGATGGGGGGAAGAGAGTGGAGGTAGAGCATGCGCTGATCAAGGACAGAGGAAACAGAAGCAGCAGAAAGTAGATTAAAATGGACCAGAGGAACAGTGGCATCTCAACGTGGATGAAGGATGAGCATGATCCATTCATGGACTGTTGGCAAAATGTAGGCTGATTTGAGGGGAAGATGTGGAACAGAGGAGACAGAATAAGAACTGAAGTGAAGGGAAATCTGTAACAGGGAAACAGAGAACAACATAATGCTTACAGAGGTTCTAGCAATTCCCTTCTTGACTAAATAAAAGTATTTTTCATTCTGTCTGTGTTGCTGTTGGAGAGTTAACCTCACTTCCTGTCTAAAATTGTGTCAGGAAGTAAGGGGAAATCTCTGTAACAGAGCACGGCTAGCAGTAAAACCTAACAGGGGTTCTAATAATTTCCCACTACATCCAAAACAAGATGTAGATACAGCTATAGATACATTTTTTTCTTTTGCCATTGAGACATTACAGCATTAAGGTAAGGTTAAATAATACAAATATGAAAATATAATGAAGGGAATTTATCAAAACTGGAGCAGCCGAAAACTGGAGCAGATATGCATGGCAACCAATCAGCTTCTCTCTTTCATTTTCAAATCTTAACTGAACAAACTGAAGAGAGAAGCTGATTGGTTGCCATGCACAGCTGCTCCAGATTTTATCTGCTCCAGTTAGGATAAATTCCCCTCAATGTATTCATACTGTAAGCTCCAAAGTAAAATAAAAATCAATGTTTTAGACAAGCTTATCCAAATGCTATGAATGTACTGGATCTTACAAGACCCACACAATTTTATCTGAATTTACTACATTGTACAATCGCACTATAACGTATGTTGCCATTTGTCTTTGACTGCAGAATCCACAGTAACTTAATGCCACCAATACAGGCTATCCAGTCAGGGATATATTAGATACACACATACACCTTAAAATGCTATCCACACTTCAAGTACGTTACTTACAAATGCAACAGGGTCATTACTTCTTGTCCCCACAATACTTAGCTTCTTCACATGGGTATTATTTTTCATTGCCTCAGAGTAAGCTTTTAAAGTTAAAATAGGAATGTTCTAGAATACAAACAGAAATACAAAATAAAATGGAATTTGTATTAAAAATAATAGGGTCTCCTTAAGGAAATAAGCAACCTGTTACACATTTTTTATGTGCTATGCAGATTTGGAAGCATTATGTAATCCATGAATCCTGATTACTTGATTTATTAATTATGTTATTCTATGTAGATTGGAATAAATCTGGATACACTTAGCCCTAATTCACACCCATATGTTTAGGTGGGTTTAGGAATTCCTGTGTCAAAAACTTGCGATTTCTTGCAGCAGGAATCCCAAATCTGCCATTTTCAAACAGCAGCTGTCAACCATTTAAGTTAATGATCAGGTGTCGGCGGACGCATTTAAAAGTGGCAGAACGCTGGCACACCAGATTTAATCATATGCGGTATGGTTACATGTGGTTAGGAATCAATCACTATCCCTAGACACCATCCAGGGATTGTCAATCACTAAATCAATAATCAATCCATAGTTCCACTGTAAAATAATCTACAAGTGGTTTACATTTCAAACAACTGCTAACTTGTCCAGGACTGGTTCACCCAGCAAATGTAACCCAAGAGCTCACTATCTGATGCTAACCCAAAAATTTAATGGAGGGGTGTTCAGCCAATTCTTGTAACAGCTGGGGTCAAAGTACATGCATCTATAATAAGTGTGTTAAGAAAAAGCCTTCGATGTTCAAAAAGAACATTAGAGCAAGATTACAGTTTGCCATTGAACATATAGGCAAAGACCAGACCAGGCAAAGGACAATGTCCTGAAAACTTATCATGCAAAGATTGTTTGGCCACAGTAAGAGTAGGCATATTTGTTGCAAACTGAAGACAATATTTCTGGAGAAGAACCCCCATAACAACTGTGAAGCATAGTGGTAGAAATGTTATGGTTTGGGGTTGTTTTTCAGCTGAAGGCATTTTGCATAGAGAAGTGGTCAAAAATTAAATTTTCAGTGAGGTTGTGCAGGTACAAGGTTGACAGTACAAGAGCGGGCAATCCCCAAAACTAGGGATGCACCGATACTAGTATCAGTGCTGAGTATTTGGGCGAGTACTTGTACTTGCCCAAATGCTCTGATGCCTAGCCCGATACTTCCGGTATCAGGAAGCCCGGCAGCGTGTAATAACTCTCTGTCTGGCTTCATGATTGGTCAGGAAGCTGGCCAATCAGGAAGCCGGGCGCCATGTAACGATGCGGCGCCCGGCTTTCTGATTGGCCGGGAAGCCGGCTTCATGCTCCCTTGTCATGAGGTGACGAGGGAGCATGAAACTGGCTTCCCTGCTAATCAGGAAGCCAGGTGGCGAGTCTGTACACGCAGCCCATCTTCACGGCTGATCAAGAAGCCAGGCGAGTCATCACATGCCGGCTGGCTTCCTTAATGGAACTTCTGGTAACGGTATTCAGTATCAGCGAGACCGGTAAAAAATATCAGTACTCGTACTCGATACCAAAATGCCAGTAGCTGTGCATCCCTACCCAAAACATGTACCTACTGTATGATACTGCTCAGATAATTCGAAACATTTACACAGAAATGTCATAAATAACAAGCCTAAAAACATATCTATATACTTCATACTGATGAGAAATAACATTCTGAATCTTCCTGTTAAAGCAACAGGGTCACATCTGCTGCTGATAATAGAAAACAATACAGAAAGAATGGTTAGCAAATATATTGGTACATAAGAACTCAAAGCGCTTAAAGTGTATGCAAACCCTAACAATGAACTTCTCTTATTTGCTACCTTTTGGTCTTTGAAACATACCATTGAAAGTGCTTTGTTTTATACGCTCGATAAGTGCAGAAACCAATACCTGTTAATACTGTCAAAAAACTTTTGGGGATTGATAACTTCCTGTTTACTCTGCCTCTACTGAATCTTATCGTTTTTCCAAGGCTGAACGAGAAAAATAGAGCAGATTCTTCCATCAACACTGGTCTATCGAGGAATACTGCTGTTTGCATTGTAGAATACCCGAACAGAGCGGGCGGCTCATTGGCTGCCGGCTCTAAATGTACAAAGATTTTCCGGCAAGCTCCTTTGATCAGCTGATTGAGGGATGCCAACCGAAAGGGTGCCAACAGCGGCACACCTTAGGGCACTCCTGTATGGGCATCCTTAGGATGACAATAATCTAACATATTCAAGTATTATTCTGGGGTTTAGATACACTTTGAGAAAAGAAGGCTAATTACTGATGTATGACAAGTGAGTCCACAGATTTTAACATCTAAATACGAGCAGAAAAAAAAAAAATTTTTAGAAGCTAGGCAACATTATCAATTATATTCTGTAAATAGTGGTTTATGAAAAACTAAGTCATCATCCAAATTCTTGTGGGCTTAGTATGTTGTATTTATCAGCTATAAAGCCAACTTGTAATTGGCCCTGAAAGAGCCTGTGCCAAACCAGCTAGCACTGTGTACTGTTCATCTGTCATGCATGCTTTTACATTATATTTTGCTAAGATCTATTTTTAATCAGGACGCAAAGTACTCATTTCACTGTTTTACTGTTATTTGGGAAAACATATTAGAAATAATTCAATAAGTACTAAAGGAAATGTTATAACAGAATTGATTAACCAGATATTATCCACCATATTAATAAGTGGTTAGTTGGCAGTTCAGTTTGTTGCTTATTTTTTACTAGGGTATTTTATACAAATATTTGACGTATACTTTTAATGAATATTTATATAAATATAACTGGTACTTCACAGCAAAAGGGAAACTCAGACTACATACCCCAGCACTGCCACCAAATCCCAGCATTAATGCTAAATGGCACCTGCATCCCTACAGCAGACAGGAAACTATAAGTTCCAGCACTGCAACCAGGTTCCAGCACTTTCATTAGAGTAGCAACTTCTTTATTTAATATTCTCATATATTGAATATAGTGTTTACCCAGGGCCTCCAGGTGTCTAACAAATAGGTGGCTCACAGGGTCCTAGTAGTCACGATGTTTTTTGTATAACAGCAACTTCTACACTTAGGGCTGACTCAGGCCTGTATTTCAACATAATGTTCTAGACACAGCTGACTGGTGAGAAGGCTCCACCTATTATAGGCAATTATTACGTAAAAACTAGTGTTAGAATGTGTTATTGGAGAAAGTGTACTGCCTGTTTTATATTAAAGCAAGACTAGACCCACACATTTAATGGTCTCCAAAAACAGTTATTTTCAAGGCAGGCCAACTGTCAAGGTTCCCAGTGTACTTATTTAATCTCTTAACCGAACTTTCAAGCCCACAAATGGTTGGTGTCGTAGCTGATCACATGTTCAGCACCATAGCAACTGAAATCCAAATAGAGGCCAACATGGCACCTTCCTTGGTTGTAAAGGATAATAGATTGTACTTCTGCTTTAACAGCTACTTTGTAACTGTAGAGACCAGCAAGCTTACCAACTCTGGCAAATCTTGTGACCCCTTGTGATCAGCATGCCCTTTAAAACTTCCCCTTTAGTGCATTTGCTGAATACAGCCACAACTTTCCAGAGGTAGCCAGAAGGTAAACAAAATAAGAAAAAACATGACCACAGTTTATACATTTTGAGGTTTGGTGCTGCCCCTTTAACCCGCTGTCCTAAGAATTGGCCCATGACAACTATTATGGCTCTTGACTAACAAATGTAGATAAGCCCCAACAATGCAATCAGTAAGATTTCTCATGCCTGTTGGAACTTGCAATTCCTCAATATTCCCTGTCCAATCTCTGCTTACCTTCAGAGATGTCAAAGTTGGAAAGCAGTTTTAGGGTGTCAAGGTAAAAGCATGTGAAAGTTGCTCTGGTAATAGGCATTGTCAAACAGACTTAAAGGTTATAGATAAAGCCAAATGGATTTAGTAGCTACAGACCATGTTTATTAGAAAAAAAAAATCCAAAGCGCCAATAATGACCAACAGATGAAAATAAAGTGCAAGCGAGGATAACTAGGGGTGCTACCCCACTTCAGCCTGGGAAGCTGCAACACTATGGGAGAAAAGAAAAGAGAAGGGGGCGTGGCCCCAGAAACACGTCATCAAAGGAGTCCTGTGTTGATACACAGGCATCTGTGCAGCCGATTTTCAGATATCGTTCTGGCTCGTCTCATATGATTTTACTGATTCAACTTTGTGAGTTTGTTTTTACCCTTTACTTTAGCTCACATTATTAAAAAAACATCTACACTAGGGTGGGCGCCCTTCTCTTTTCTCCCATGTTTATTAGAAGCCAAAGTCAACAGATGTTAGCTAGGCAGCTGATTTAGTAAATGGCACTCACAACACATATGTTCTATAGTATCGTACAGATAACATGGTTACAATAGGAAAGAATAGAGTTAAACATTTTGCTTGCAAAGACAGAGTAATTCCAGTCAAGTGTGTGTTCAAAGGACTTTGTGAGTGGTACCCTTTATTCCAAGACTGATATCTATCCCTGTTGACTGATTCGTCTCTTAGCAATGAAGCCCACATTACCTTGGGTGGAATTGTGGCGACCATATTTTTCCTACAAGTTGCAGGTTGAAGCAGGAAACTTAAAACAGTTAACGAGAACCAAAAGTACAAATGTTACTGCAAACCCTGATCCTTCAAGTGTTTAAAATATAAAAGAACAATATTCTAAATAAAGTCTACAAATAAAATAATCTAGAAAAATATTTGAGTCTCCGTTTCTTTTTTTCTTCATTAAAAGGATATGCCTAAATAAAATGTCAAGCTTTTCTAAATTGTTATGTCCTCTTCCTCTACTTTTGTAAAGCAAAGATATTACTAGTGTTACCAGAGCCATGTCGCGCTTTATTTGGAAAACAAAGCGTCCTAGGGTATCGATCAAGAAGTTATGGCTCCCGAAGAGTGAGGGGGGAGCTAATTTCCGGAAAATCAAGTTGTATAATTATGCCTGCCTATTGAGACATGCGACTGATTGGCTGACTGACAATTCTACCTATTCTAATACCTCCATTTAAGCAGAGTTTATTGCTCCATGGGATATCAAAGCTATTCTCCACTGTAAGGTTTCTGATCTCCCCACTGGTATTCAACGAAAGTCTATGTATAGGGACACGGTTGTAGCTTGGAGAGAGATACAGAAAGTTCTCAAACTCTCCCCATATCTCTCCAACCATTGTTCTTTACGAAACCCTATATTTCCTCAGGGAATGGATCATGTCACACTTCGTGTTTGGCATTACAAGGGTATGAAATTGTGGAAGCATCAATTCCAGTGTTAAGGGCTGAGCTAAAGAGTTTGGTGACCCGGACTTGGTAGATAAGCTGCTCATGGGGTATAATAGAGTGAGAAGTGTGATCACCAACGAAATATAGAGGGAGATCCAGTTTAAACTACTGCACAGGGCTTATGTCCCCTACTTTGTGCCTGCTGGCACCTCACCTCATCAACCGAAAATATCCATTTGTCCAAAGTGCAGACAATCTCATCCTACGTTACAGCACTGTTTATGGACTTGCCCTTTAGTTCAGCACTTTTGGAAATAATTGCTGTCTTATATTACCAACATTCTCTCCTGGTCGCCTCCGCTAGACCATGCACTCTGTTTATTTGGTAATTTTTCTCCATCGCAGGAAGGAACTAGCCGCTCCTCATATAAAGGGATGGGCTGGTTACACATCTGTCTTCTGCGCAAATGCAATGACACCTCCCCACTGACTGTCCAGGAGGTTATCAAAGATCTAAAGTTATTGCTGCGTAAGGAGAAGCTAGATGCGGAACTTCGAAAAGATGCTCGTACTAAGACTTTTTTTTCGTAGATGGATTAAATCCTTTACTATTCACATAATTACACAGCTAATTTTTGATATACCACTTGGTATCTCAAAGCTAGATTGTCGAATACCCTGGGGATATTAGATGTTGGCTTTTCTTTTCTAAAGAAGGAAGACAACCACATCTAATCTGTTAGGGGGTGCAACCTGGTTTTGTTTTGCTAATCGAACTTTGTCGAAGGAAGCTTTGTATCCTATCAGTGAACTTTTTAAATAAATTCTCTAACTGTGCTTTCACAATGATTCCTTTATTTTGTTAATGTGTTGAAAATTTCAATAAAACTTTGTTAAAAAAAAAGAAAAGGATATGCCTAAGAGATGAGAGTCAATAAGGGGCTTCCAGATAATTAGTAGTTATGGATACCAGGAGGAATCAATCTCTAGACATTATGTACATTACAGTATGTAACCAGGCAGGTGCACAGTTCCAAAGTGAACCTGTGCCACGGGTTAATAAGGGGCCTCCCAAGAATTCACTCTCCAGTCTCATCACTCTGGTAACTGAAAATATTATAAAGTGACTGGGAACAAATGAGCTTTAACTGAGCAAAAAGACTCATACAATGTAATATGGAACTGCAGAAATTTTCACATGGGCACCTGCAGATTCATGGAGACACTGCTGGCAGATTTTCACAATAAGACATTATCTATCAGATTGGTTGAAAGTCATGCTTGAGCTAAACTTAACCAGGGAAGACCATAAGTGCTTATGCAATAGTAGAGTGCATATTAGTATTTTAATCTGTAGCAAGAAGACTGTTAGAACATCCAACTATCATTTGGTGTCTATGGATTGCTTTAGGCTTGATATGGACTTGCTGGACCCTTGTTTCCATTTCAGCGGATCTGTGGTGGCAGGATCAGACAGTAAGGGACATGAAGAGCATATATAAAATAATTTGCGGCTCTGTAAAAGCTTTCCATTCAATAGTTTTCATCATTTAAACCAGAGACCAGACCAGAGACCTCTGCACAATCTTGTAACCTACTAATGTATTTCACCTGCATTGGAGAAAAGCATTCATCTTTAAAAACCTACATACACAAAGTCATGATTTCACTTCTACCATGAACTGTTTTAGCCTTCAGACAAACTCTTTCCACTTGTATTTGCTATTTGCAAAACGTTGGAGTTTTTAACTAGGCATTGATCTATAATAATAATATTCTTAAAGAAACCATCTAATATATAATTGTTTAGATCATATTAGAACAAAGCTTAGCTCTAAATATTGCTTTTGCCAATAAACATTCACATTTTCAACATTAAAAGCTAAAGCAGCCCAATTAATTGCTAAAAAATGTGTGCAAACATATGTAAGCTTGTCACCAAAATAAATGCCCCTAACATTAAGCCATATACAGTACTGTGAATATATAACATAAATGTGATCAGATGCTTGGATAATTCTGCTCCAGATAAACTCTGAACTCCTGTACCACATCAATATTTCATTTGTTGTTGTTGGTCAATTATAATTGTGGACACTTCTAGCTTGTCAACCTGATTGCTTTCCACTAGGGGTTGCACCGATACTTTTTTTTCCAGTGGAGTACTGATACTTTTCCTCAAGTACTCGCCGATACCAATTACCGATACTTTTTTCAGTGTCATGTGACAGTTTTTCTAAAACAATACAGACTAGTGATTTTAGGGCAGTGGTGGAGCACCAGGGCCCGGTCCCAGCTGCAAACGTTGCTCCACTGGTAGTTTGACCACTGACTCCAAGCTGTAGAGGGACTACAAATCTCAGCAATACATTATACAACAATGCAGAATACCACCAGCTATAGAGGACTACAAATATCAGCACTACATTATACAGTAATGTAGAATACCACTAGCTATAAAGGACTACAATTCCCAGTCATACATTATACAGCAATGCAGAATAATACCATCAGCTAGAGAGGACTACAAATTCCAGCAATACATTATAAAGCAATGCCGAATGGCAACCGGCTATAGAGGACTACAAATCCCAGCAATGCATTATATATCAATGCAGAATAATATGAAGCTACATACTCAGGTGGCTGTGCGGGTCTCGGGAGGGCTGTGAAGGGTCTATGGTGAGGTCTCTAGTGGGCTGTGCAAGGTCTATGGTGGGCTGTGCAAGGTCTACGGTGGGTTGTGCAATGTCTCAGGTGACTGTGTGGAGTCTATGGTGGGCTGTGGAGGGTCTATGGTGGGCTGTTCAGGTTATATGGTGGGTTGTGCGGGGTCTATGGTGGACTGAGGAGGGTCTATGGTGGGCTGTGCGGGGTCTATGGTTGGATCTGCAGGGTCTATGGTGGACTCTGCAAGGTCAATGGTGGGCTGTGTGGGGTCTATGGTAGGCTCTGTGGGGTCCCAGGTGGCCGTGCAGGGTCTATGGTGGGCTGTGCGGGCTCTCAGGTTGTTGTTCGTGGTCTATGGTGGGCTCTGGGGGTCACAGGCGGCTGTGCAGGTTCTATGGTGGGCTGCGCGAGCTCTCAGATGGCTCTGTAGGGTCTATGGTGGGCTCTGCAGGGTCTTAGGTGGCTCTGCGGGTTCTATGGTGGGCTCTGCCGGGTCTATGGTTGGCTGCACGGAGCCTATGATGTACTCTGCGGGGTCTCAGGCAGCTGTGCGGGGTCTATGATGGGCTGCGCGGGCTCTCAGGTGGCTGTGCGGGGTCTATGGTGGGCTGTGCAGGGTCTATGGTGGGCTCTGCGGGGTCTCAGGCGGCTGTGCGTGGTCTATGATGCGCTGTGCGGGCTCTCAGGTGGCTGTGCGTGGTCTGTGGTAGGCTCTGCAGGGTCTCAGGTAGCTGTGCGGGCTCTATGGTGGGCTCTGCGGGTCTCAGGTGGCTGTATGGGGTCTATGGGGGGCTCTATGGTGGGCTGTGCGGGCTCTCAGGTGGTTGTGCGGGGTCTATGGTGGGCTCTGTGGTGTCTCAGGTGGCTGTGTGGGGTCTATGGTGGACTCTGCGGGGTCTATGGTGGGGTGTGCAGAGTCTATAGTGGGTTGTGTAGGGTCCATTGTGGGCTTTGCAGGGTCTATGGTGGGCTGTGCGAGCTCTTAGGTGGCTGTGCGGAGTCTATGGTGGGCTTTACAGGGTCTCAGGTGGCTGTGCAGGGTCTAAGGTGGGTTGTACAGGGTCTATGGTGGCATTTGCAGGGTCTATCGTGGCCGTGTATGATCTATGGTGGGCGGGCAGAGTCCATGCTGGGCTGTGTGGTCTCACAAGGGGGCTCCATGCGGTTGATGTGGAGGAGGAAGAGATTTGCGACACAGGAAGGAGGAACAAATTTTAAGGATCTTGGCAGCCTTCCTGTGAAGTTCAGCGCCTGTTTACAGTGTCAGCTTCAGCTTAAAATTTGAAAGCGCCATTATCGGCGCTTAGTATCAGAGCATTTTCATGAGTATGAGCAGGGGCGTATCTGCCGCGAGGCAAACAAGGCGTTTGCCTGGAGCGGACCTGAGTACGAGTACTCGTGAAAATGCCCAGTATCGGCACCGATACTGTTACCGGTATCGGTGCATCCCTACTTTCCACCGTGAGATATTATATTCCCCTACTGATTTTTAATCCGATGAAAATCACCAACACAAGCTAAATATGGAGGTTTGATACCAGTTTGTTAAATACAAAGAGCTGGATACATGATGAAAGGATGCATAGAAGTTCTGGAAACATTTTTTATTTCAGCATAGAAAAGGGTCAGACCAGCACTATATTTAGACATCATGTTGCCCCAGGCACACCTGACTGATGTATAAGCTCCACCCTTTGTGTCATGTGATTATTTTAGCAAAAAATAATGCTGCAATGGGATGCTGGAGGTTCTGATTTGTATTTAGATATTCTTTCCAGTTGTACAGACCATCAAAGAAGAGAAAGGCAAAATTGATTTACATTTCTTGAACTATAAATAAACTTTTGACTCCTCTTAACATCCTCTGAGCCCCCTGCAGTTCCTTCGCTTAATTTACTCCCAAATGTCTAGAGGTGGCCAAAAGAGGGAAACTAAATAGGTTGAGGCTTGCTGCTGCCTCTCTTATCCTGCTGTTCAGGCACTGCCCCATTAATGCTATTATACTTAATACAGCCCTGGATCAACTTGACATTAAATGCTTAGTGGCTATGATATATTTTAATGTCCCTATTGGAGCAAAAATAAAATCATATTAATACATACCCTTATATTATTGAGATTAACCTCTTCAAGATCAGGGTCGTTGCTTTTAACGCGTTCTAAGGTTTCATCCACTTCTGTTGAATTAGGTTCTTCATCAGGAACAGGTTTATATTGTGTAGGCTTAATCACACCTATAAAAAGCATGATGTAGTGAATATCGATATTGAAATAAACAGTGCATACAAGATACTAGAAATGTGTGATTGTTTATTTCATCCAATCATTTAGTTAAGACATCCAATAAACACATCCCTACACCAGGGCATTGTAAACCTCCTTCTAAAATTGCCATTTGCCTGGTTGTTATGCTGACCCCTGGTTTCAATTTTTTGAGTCCCTGAGCCAGACAGCTATAGCCCCAATAAAAGATGACTTTTACCAATGCTATTTTCACAAACTGGTATTTATATTGTGAGGAACAGAATAGGTCACCAGCACACCTTCTCTTCTTCATAAATCCTTTTATTGAAAGGCCACCAGAATTTTACTATCTGGTGACTTTTAATGTCCGCCATCCCTTCTGTCACCCAGGATATAACTGCAAACTTCTGGCCCCCTTTCCTGACAACCCTCTTTTCAGTGGAATCTCTATGGCATTTTATTCCCCCAATACCAGGCCCCGTTCCCAAAGATGGTCATCAACCTATGCCGCACCAAATTATACCTCCTGCTCACTGTTACTCTGTGGTGTCCTATGTAACCCTGTTTTATTTACACTGATGGTCAATGGACAGTTCTCTCCACAATTAAAACACTAATACATTCATGGTCAGTAAAGAATTGCCCCCCTTACATTGGTGAGCAGTAAAAATGTGCCCCCTTACACTCTTGGTCAGTAAAGTGTCTCATTGTATTGGTAGCCAACAGAGTTTGCCCATTACACTAGTGCTCGGCATAAGGTCAAGGTCAAGGTCAGGGAAATATACTTGGTCAGCGGAGTGCCCCATTACATTAATGTAATGTAATGTGCCGTCATTATCTTGATGATCAATGGAGAAGTGCCCCATTACATTGGTTTATAGAAAACCCAATATGTATGGTCGTATACTCCTTGGTTTCATTGTACTGAATGTGTAAAGAAGGTTAAACTCATGTTACCATTGCAATTAGAAATATCATGTGCACCCCAAACCTTTTTGGTAGGTATTGATCATACTTTTTTTTACTGTTTTTTAAACTAAATTATTTACACAATGATTTATATGATGCAAAACAAAGCATATTACTATAATTAATGTACTTATTATGTATTACATATGTATTATTAATGTAATATAGATATACTCACTATTTAGCCCCTCCTTGTTGACAATATTGCTGCTTGTGAAGGCTTCATAATACTGCTGGTTACTCATCAGAGTATGCATTCCCAGGATCGCTAAGAGGAAAAATCAAACCAGTGAATTATACACTCACCAAATGCTGCTATATGCATGTATTATTCAGTTGTTATCAGGTTGTAGAAACTTTTACACATCATGTAATATTTGAAGAACAACTGTACTTTCAGTACACATTTAAAGTCCCTCACCATCCCCAGCATCCTTTTATATGTTATACTTTAATGTACTTCCCACCAGTGGCGTAACCAGAGTAACGGGCGCCCAGGGCTTAACTACATTTTGCAACCCCCCCGGTGATATGTGGGGGTGTACAGGTACAATGAGAGCATGCTGTAACTCAAATATCACCCAGGGAACTGAGATACCCTTATATTATTGAGATTAACCTCTTCAAGATCAGGGTCGTTGCTTTTAACGCGTTCTAAGGTTTCATCCACTTCTGTTGAATTAGGTTCTTCATCAGGAACAGGTTTATATTGTAAATATACAGGGACAATGAGGGCATGCTGGGACTTGTAGTTCCCTGTATGATATGAGGCTGTATTAATTATGTCCGCCTGAAAGTACTAGTAATACAATGCCCGGGCCATCTTTAATATTAATTGGGCCCTGGGATATATAAAATAATACATACTAGTGGATTTAGGACAGTGGTGGAGCGCCAGGGCCCTGTCACAGATGCAACCATTGCAACCCTGGTAGATCTGCCACTGACTCCAACTTGTAGAGGGACTACAAATCCCAGCAGTACATTATACTGCTATGCAGAATACCGCCAGATATAGAGGACTACAAATCCCATCAAAACATTATACAGCAAAGCAGAATACCACAAGCTACAGAGGACTATTAATCCCAGCAATAGATTATACTATAATGCAATGTACAGGATGGCAGCGGGCCAGATGTAAAGGATGGCAGCGGGGCAGATGTAAAGGATGGCAGTGGGGCAGATGTACAGGATGGCAGTGCGACGGCACTGCAAAGGGCCAAGTAGGAGGAGGAGCGCAGGGAGCAGGAGCACTGACTTCTCAGTGTATATCCATGGGAGCCCCGGACTCCATATCTCCATCACCTTTCATATCAGA